TTACCAGCAATTAATTGAAATTGAGTTTAAAAAAAATTATTGTTAATGATGCGCGTCTAAATCCTGAGATTCTAGTACGATAAGCTAAAAAAATACCAGTTTTTTTAGTCGTCAACAATATTTATGTAGGTAGCATTTTTGAACAAACAAATATAGATAAAAATACTAATATTCTTGTCATTATTTGTTTATATCTCCAAAGAATTAAGTTGCCCATACAAATACTTCTTTTACAGTGTTGTATTCAAGCTCATAAACCCAGTCCTCGTCGACTGCGGAATATAGACCTCTCATAATAATTATGTGCCACTGAGCGCGGTATTCGACTCTTCTCATTCCGTTCTTACTGGGCGCCTTCGGTAGGTACCTAAGTAAGGGCTCCGGCTGGTCGGGAGTAGGTACTCGACACTTTTTGCGATTCGTTAACAGTTTTGTAATAGAATCAAAGACGTTACATGTGTACACAATAATTATACAAGTAGTAAAACAATTGAATAATTGCGAAGCATTGCGAACTTGTGCGAAGATATAAGGCGGTCTTAATTTTAAAAAGATAGAAAATGTCTTTGTGTATCAAAAAAGATATAATTTCGATCGAAATGTACAACAAAGAGGTAAAAATAGAAACACGCAACACTGAACATAGTTTTGTTTAGAACTACAAACAAGCTTGAGACCACGTACATTATTAACACCGTTGAAACATTTAGCTTTATTTCATACACGAAATTGATTTGAAGTGTTCAAAATGAACCAGTTAACGTACGGTATTGAATATTGACATAAATACGTTCGTTCGTAATTCGCATGAATGTTGAAAACACGCAAGGCTTGACTAATGTAGGCAGGACGTATTCCTGCTAAGGAAATGAGAAAGCGTGACAAAGAACAAGCCGTGTGACAATGAATATTACGCTTCACCGACTTCGGCGACGCGTCCGTCCGTCTTTCTGTACGGTGTCCTTATAGCTTCTTAACCGTTACGCTGTTGAAGGGACGAAAACATAAAAATGTCCCTTTTCATTGATCTGTTTTGTAGAATTTTCAACGAGGTATTTCGATGATCGTTCACGGGACCCTCGTTCGGACGTAGTTTATTCTCTGCTCGAAGCGATGTTTCTTTGTGTTTCGTCTTGCTAATCTATTTGTCCTTTAGTCAATGATTCGTATCTGAAGACGATTTCGATTTATGGGCATTACGTGTTGTATTATATTAGTTTCGTAGAGCTATAGGGCACCTCAGTTTTCTAGTTGTGACTGTGTCTACTGTGCCCATGCTATCTGCGTCTTTTAGTCGATATCTACCTATTTTTGGTCTCGATTTCAATGGGACATTTGGGACCGTTGTTTATGATACTTTTAAGTTTATAAACCTCCTCTAAATGTATATAGATTAATCATATAAATTGCAAATATGGACTGAATAATGTAACGTAAAACAGTATGTTTAATTCTATTGAATAAACATGTACATACGTATCTATCTTTTAGGGCACAAATCGTATACATATACTAAATCGTTTGTTTCCCTTTACATTAGTATTTCAAGTAAAATATTTTTAAACAGTCGAAGTTTTACAACAATGGCGGCTTTAAAGTGCCACTTGTTATAACACAACATGTTTGTTTCCAGAGCTAAATTCGCAAACATATCTTTGCCCGTCCATTATTCTAGCAATTCACGACTATTCTTAAATGAACATCTGAAGTTGTTAGTATAGTGAAATTATTTATTTATTACGTGTCTTCATAGCATACCCGAGCGATGAAAAGTTTGAGTAAGGCATTAACAACAAAACTGTTTTAGCATGATATGCGATTTTAAAATAGTGTACGCGACACGCCGCAATGCCTCAGTAATTTCAGTTCGGTGTTAAGACGTGTTTAATCTTCTATCTATATACCTATATAAAAATGAATTGCTGTTCGTTAGTCTCGCTAAAACTCGAGAACGGCTGGACCAATTTGGCTAATTTTGGTCTTGAATTATTTGTGGAAGTCCAGAGAAGGTTTAAGGGGTAGATAAATATGAAAATGCTGGGAATTAAATAAAAATAACAATTTCGTTTTTCCTATAATGTGACCCCTGTCGGACGGATTCCTTTTGTTTGTTTTAAGTTTATTTTATACAAAAGTTTAGGTCTTTTTGAGGCACTACGAAGTCTGCGGGTTCAGCTAGTTTGTAATAAAACAGACAGCGAAATTCATAGTCGAGTTAGTGAATGTTAGGTCTTATTGGCAACTACCGCAGCGAAGTTATAGTGTGTAATTTTGAGTCATTTATGAGCGTCGAGCGCTATCGGCGAATGCCCGCTGCCGTCTAATGGCAACGCAAACAGACGGACCTTGTTGACATGAGCGAGTCGACCGCTTTATAAATATTTCGTGTGGCGGCCGCGCCATTATCCCATTAGGGAAGGGCATTACTCACTCACAATGTGAAGCTATTAGCCGATGTGGGACGTTCGATACATACTGAACGGGATTATCGCGCGACAACTTTATGAAAAATTCTAATGAAATTAAAACTGTAATAATTTGTATTTCTATACTGACTACACAGTAAATCACTNTCGACCGCTTTATAAATATTTCGTGTGGCGGCCGCGCCATTATCCCATTAGGGAAGGGCATTACTCACTCACAATGTGAAGCTATTAGCCGATGTGGGACGTTCGATACATACTGAACGGGATTATCGCGCGACAACTTTATGAAAAATTCTAATGAAATTAAAACTGTAATAATTTGTATTTCTATACTGACTACACAGTAAATCACTGCATAGTATAAAACAAAGTCGCTTTCTCTGTCCCTATGTACGCTTAAATCTTTAAAACTACGCAACGGATTTTGATGCGGTTTTTCTTAATAGATAGAGTGATTGAAGAGGAAGGTTTATATGTATAATAACATACATTAAATAGTGGAGAAATCAATAATAAATTACAGTTTCCGAAGCGAAGCGAGGGCGGGTCGCTAGTAAAATATAATTAACAAAAGATCATGTAATGTACAAATTGTAGTGAATTCTCCAAAACTTGTTAATCGTATCCAATACGAATACGAACAAGTAGTGGATTAATAATGAGATGTTCGTGACGTTGCTTGTAAACAATCGCTTCAAGTAACATGGCGTAACGATCACAATGTTTTTAGTTATCAGTAGGTAACTGTGAAGTTTGATTATAAATTTATAGTATATACTATATTCTGAACTTATATCAAGTATCAAATGAATTATTTATGTATAAATATAAAAGTGACATTTATTATTGCGCCGTAGATAGGTAGATGATATCACGTCCACATGGTGTTATGGGGTTACTAAAGCACATGGATTGTTAACTCGGCTCACCTTAAAACGAGAGAATTGGACAACGGCTACGCATTTTTCACCGCATGTTTAGTTCTCGGCAGAAATAGTCTGAATTGAGACAATAAAACTCAGAAATAATAAATACAATAATACGCTTGTAACATCTAAACAAAAGTCCTTTTGTATATAAATTAGGTCAGGTCGGTCTGCCCACAAAAAACTACAATTTTTTTTTACAAATTCAGTTATAATTATGTTAGTCTTTGTTTATTATTGGTGTAATCATTGATACGATAACTTAGAATGCAACAATAACGCGGTTCTCGTTGCTTGTCTACGTGAGTAAAAGCTCGTGTCAGTTACCATTCTGTTGTGTTTACTCTGTGTATGTCGCATCCTCTCGTTCGCAGCGTCGGACAGGTCCGACTGCCTGAGCGGTCGGTGCCGTTGATTCGTATAACCAAACTAATAAAAATACTCACCTCTCGTTTTACCGGCTGATTCCTCGCCGCAATGAAAATCCACTGCTTTGTCTCTCAAAAAGATCGATAAACACCGACCCTTAACACGGTAAAAGCAAAGTAAATTACTTTTAATCACTATTCAACATAAACGAGCACGGACCAACGTTTCACAATAGTATTTTGTTGATTAACACACAGGCATGTACAGTACACCTCACAGGAGCAATCCGATCCTCGATACGATTATGTTCAATACAGTTTCCACAGATAATGTTATATTAATAAACAACACTTGATTTTACTGTAGAAAACATAATAATATAAAACGATGGAGACAGCGAAAAGGACGTCAGCGCCGCATCGAGTCGGCGGACGACCGCGGAACCCAGTTGAAGTTGACACGAGGAACGCTACGTGTCCCCCGACTCTGAACTGGGTGCACGAGTGAGAAGGCAATAGTCTCTCGATTGATGTCTGACAGAGAGGACGACATTTTACGAGGCGGGTGGCATAAAAATGTGAGAAGGGCGCGTAGGTACTAAGTACACAGAGTAGGTTCAACGCCGGCACAGCGTGCCTTCTGCCTTGAATTGATCCACAGTGAATAGGTAATGATTGCTGTAGCGTTTGTGGCTGCGAACGGCATCAGTGAGCTATTCACTCATTTCATTATCCAACAATAATTAAGTATTTCGAGTAAGGTAGTTGCCTGTTCGCACGAGAATCTCTTCGCTGTTACAAAGTCGTGGAGTAATTAGATGCTAGTCATAACGAGACATGCGATCTCATCGGCCTTAAATGTTTTGAAAAAGAAAAGAAATTCAAAACTCAACATGTCTACTTCTTTAGTAAATGTAAATGCGGCTTGCTTGCATGTTGCATACTGAGTCTTGATCTTGAATAGTGAATGTTAGGCTCGTAAAATAAAATTTCAGATCTAGACTATTGATTTGTTTGGACTATCTATAGGGTTCATAATTAAATTTCATATAAGCTTGATGATGAAAGGAGCCATCTTAAACTGAAGCAACAGCTCGTTTTTTATTGATTTCACTTCGTAGATAATCGAGCATACAGCCCACTTGTTTTTGAGTGGTCACAGTCACTAAGGTATGTCAGCAATGGCGAGGCACAGCCAAGCCACCACCTGCCGCGGGTTTAATAACATTCGAACTCCAGTAATTCACCTACTCGGGTTAAAACAATGAAACACAATCTCAGAATATTTACATTTATTTCGCTGTTACATACTTAACCAGTTACATTCATTTCTTTTATCAATACATTTTTGGAAGTTATCGCAATTCTGTAAAACACCAACGATCTCATTTTAATGTCTAACTTATTAATAAATAATTTAACTTCTATCTTAGAGTGTGTTACATGGAGAATAGAAAGATCTTTAAAAATACATATTTAAATTACAGGTACACATTTATTTTAATTGAAATCTTTGATAACAAGACTAACATTTTTAATATCATTATTTAATGTCATGCTCCACAAAAGGTTTTTTTTTTTTCAAAATTCATACCAATAATGACAGCAACCAACACACAGTCATTATCCACCAGTCAACTTAACTTCCAATTTAATTACTATTGCTAATATTACAGCTATTTTTTGCATATTAATTTCGAACCATGTCATTCTGAAATAATGTACAAAGTTTTATTGCATTCATAGTTGAAATTTAAACACTTACAATTAAATTTCCGGTTTAGCTATTAGAAATATCGGTTATTATAAAATTTCCAATGTTTCAAATAATTTACAATTAACTAATTTTTTGTCTTTAGTGAAAATAACAGTGTTTTTCATGACAAAAACAATTTAAAAGTGACTATGGATATTAATGTGACTTGTATAGATTTCAATGTAAAATATACGAACTTAAGAAACAAACTACCTTCACTACGTTCCCGCGAGCATTATAAATAAAAAGATAGAACACACTCTAAAAGAATGCTTTAAACTATAAAGACAATCTCCTGTCCACATAAAAACACTTCTAGACATCATTATAGGCTACTTCTTGCTACAAATCTAGTGTAATATTTACATTTCAAATCGCTCAGAGATCGAACTATTTGAATACAATAGCTTTTAGTGTCTATAGCCAGTCAGGAGAGATACCTCCACGTTCTGCATATTACATCTGCTCATAACGGGCATAGTTCATTTAGATTTAGATTCGATTTTCAGTTCACAGATTGTGGTTAATACGCGATGCGTGAAGCAATTGTCGGCACACACATTTAGTCCTCACGGGGACGTACGTATAATGTCCAGATTAATTTAACATAATTCCGTAGTATTAGACGAAATCAGGCCACATTTCTTTAATGTTGGCGGCATTGCGCTCACAGCGACAATAATGGCACCTCCGGGTACGAGGGCTCCTGGTCTTCTTCTGAAGAATGGCCACTGACATACGCGACGCCATTCTTCTCCCTTAGTCAGTATCTGAATTAAAATAATGTACTTTGTTATTTGTTATTAGTTAAGACTGTCTTGCTACAGCTGTTGTTCAAACTGTTGGCAGAGTTCAAGTTACTTCAGCTAACTTGTCTTTTTTTATCCTTGTATATTTATTCTCAGTGGCTCAAGAAAGAAAGGAATGGAAAAGGTTGGAGGAGGCCTTTGCCAACTGGCAAACAGATCTAGGAAAGATAACCAAGCAACAAATATTAATAAAAATTTACTCATATCTATTAAGTTTAAGATTTTAATGCTAGTCTTTTACATAAGTTTCATTGTACTAATTTCATTTTCATTCATTGTACTAAGAGATCTGAATAAAAGGCTATATTATATTTATTCTAGTGTGACCTGGAATGATGTCAAGGACAAGGGTCAAGTGGAGACAGCTTATGAGCCCAATGTACCAGCGGGATTCTCTAGGACTACATTTATTCTAGCTTTTTAGAAGCAGACTTGTTTACGACTAAAACATAATCAGCTTGTTTAATTTAAGTCATTCGTCATAATTAAGTTTAAAGTAGTCATTTAACATACTTTCTGTACGCGTCGTCTCTGTCGCTGTCGGCGTAGGGCGCCCAGTGTGTAGGTGTGGTATCGTTGTCTTCACGCTCAGAGTTATTGCTCGTACCTGTTTCACATAAAACTAATTGTAATTACCATAATTCGCATTGCCTTTCATTGTTAGACTATGGAATATATTAAATAAATCTTATAGACAAAAGTAGGACAGGAAAAAGCGATGATGCTTTACAAACACATATACGGGGATCAAGTGTGATAGAACAACTTTTACAGTGTGTAGGAAGCGCATAGTGCATGCTGAAACACACACTTTATATTGGGTGGTCTTTGGGGACTTACGACAACACATGAGAGAAATAGAGATAAAAGTAAACCTTCTGGGATAATTACTTAAGACGACAATTAAGGGAAACTAAATTGACAAGATTGTGGTGACTTCCTCGTACAGGGGTGTGACAGTAGAGGCCTCTTTGAGGAATGGAATAATATATTCAGATACACTATTACAGTGGAAAACCATTGGCGTTGTATGGGACCAGAGTGGACTGCAAAGGATACTTTTATTTTAATTCTCATATAATCAAGGAACTCATTAAAATATTTTTTAAGTCATAATCTCTCGTTTGGCACTCGACAGTCTACGTTCATTTCATAATAAATTGAAGAGTAATATATATATATTTTTGGATTGAGGTTGGGGTCACGAGGAAGTTCCTTTATAGAAATAGACCAGCATGTGTCGTAGTCTAGTGTGCTTTGCGCTCATTGAGTTCTTGCAATAGTAACAAGCAATACTTACATCGTTCGATGGGCGTGATGGAGACCTGAGGCTCGTGCGCCGGCGGCGAGGGGCTGTCCAGGGAGATGACGGCCGCCGCGCCGCCCGGGGACCGGTACCCGCTCGACGACACCGCCTCGACAGCTGCGGAAAATGCACACTGGTAGTGAACCCATAAACCCATAGACACAGCCCACTGAGTTTCTCGCCGGATCTTCTCACTGGGTCGCGTTTCCGATCCGGTGGTAGATTCTGCGAAGCACTGCTATTGCTAGGGTTCGTGTTAGCAACGTCGTCAGGTTTGAGCCCCGTGAGCTCTCCTACTAGTTAAGGCTACGCTAATATAGCCTCAATACAACCTAAATTGAGCTCAGGCGTTCATTATTATTGTTGTTCTATTATTTTTTTTTCATTTTTTAGTAAGGAAGGTTGCTCGAAATCCTTTCTAGTTTCACCACAACAGATGAGCGAGTAAAGGATCTGTCACGAGGGATGGGACTTAGTAACAGCTGCCCGAGTGCCTCCCTGAAATATTCAAGAGCAGCTGCTTCTTAATCTATTATAAATTATCGGATCGGAATCGTGACCCGTTTAGAAGATCCGGCGAGAAGCCAGCGAGTTGATGTATGGGTTAGTTCTTCTAATAACGACTGTGATTAATAATATATAGCCGTTGTAACTATACTGAGACCTTACAACTTATATCTCAAGGTGGGTGGCGCATTTACGTTGTAGATGTCTATGGGCTCCAGTAACCACTTAACATCAGGTGGGCTGTGAGCTCGTCCACCCATCTAAGCAATAAAAAAAATATAAAAAAAAATATATGACAACTCCAATGATCTAACCTTTAGTTACTAACATATTTTGCAGGCTAATTTTTACAATATTACTCTTTTATAATGGATATCATTTGTGAAGACCTGTTCTCACAGTGCCGGTGGTCGAATAAAATTGTAATTAATTTTAAGTGTATTTTATTTTATTAAAGTTTTATTTAAAATTTATTTTACTTGAAACCAACAGCCTGACTCTAATTTTAGAATTTATCAGAACCGGTCTCTGAACATCTATCTCAGATATAGTTCCAGATTTAGGAATTAGCCACCAAAAATTAATCTCGTGCAAATATAAAATAATTCCTATTACAAGGTTATAGAAAATAAAAATAGTGCTAATGTTCTGCAGGCCTACAAACATTAAATTCGGAATAAACTGAGGAGGTAGCATAATTAGTTTTATTTCTACTTAATCTCTTATTAGCACCGCAAAAGGTAAGAAGCTTAAAACGGTCTAATTGATAAATATTCAAACACAAAACCAATTAAACGCATTTTTTTCTTGAATCAGTCAAGGTTTTTGCGTATTCCTAACAAATCAACAAACAAACAGACTAAAAGCAATATTCAACCAGATGTACCTAACTGTTCATAACATGGCTTTTTTTTGCAAATAAAGTATTCCGACACTACTCTAGCAGTTTCATTGTTGTTTTATTACGAGAATGAGTGACCCAATTCATTAGTGAAACCACCACCTCGTGACTTAAAATCAGTCTCAGTACACCAATACAAAACATTAGAAACATTAGAAACCAAATGTATATGTATATGTGATTGTGTATATTTATACCTTTGTGTATGTATTCGTAACTTAATATAAATTTCATTGCACCTACCACTATTTACTCTGCACTACCTTTGGTTGACTGGTAGAGAATGCCTTAGGCATTAAGTTCGCCAATGTAAGTTTTACATGAAGTGTAATAAATAAATAAATAATATACCACTGGAAGAAGAGTAATTGTCGTCGCTCTTGATGCTGGACTCGGAGACCGGGGGCGTCGGCTTCGGCTGCGGCACTTTCCTCTTCAACGGCAATTCGTCTTCAGAATCTGAAGTGAGATCAACCAGAACTTCGGTTGCGGGTTTAACTGCTCGATTCTCACCGACGGCCGCGCGTTTCGCTCCGCTACCGCCACTGTCTACTGGGATAACTTCTATAATGGGAACAGACGTTCTAACATATAATGGTTATTGAACAACAATTACAAAACTTAATACAGACTAGTGGTCATCCGGTAGTCGAAATTCGACTATAATTAATTGAAATTATAAATTTGTACACTATTATGATGCTATTGTCAAAGACTTTATTCACCAAAATGATTTCGTCAAATTACACTTTAGATAAAAATATTAATAAAGACAAATAATATTTAATCTATTCTCAATTTGATCACAGACGTTAAGCAATAAGAAAGGTTTGACAATAAACAAATAGTATGCATGCGTGTGTGTGTGTGTCAAATACACGGTAGTGTGTGTAATGTTTTTTTTAAATGATTTAATGTATTTTTTTATGCTTAATTTAAAAAATATATTATCATTGTGCACTCCTTCTCTATATTCTCTATAAGTGTGTGAAATTTCGTAAAAAGGGGTACAGTTTTTGTTTCACGTATTAATATATAGATATTGAAGTGCACCATGAAACTGTCTGTTTGTACCAGGCTCACTCATAATTCAATTGAAACTTTAGTTTCAAGACATAGTTATTTTATTCACATAAATGATTAATACATAACCCCGCCTCATTATTTTAGATTTTGGTAGCACATATTTTTTGAAACAATTTCATTTCATTCAGCTTTCAAACACAACGATTTTTATTAATGTTCCTGATATAGTATGTAGCAATGGACATAATGATGTTTGCATTGTAACTACTAGGTCACACACCAAGCCCCAACTCGACCTATATTACGTTGGCTCTCCTATCATTCAAATTTAAATGCAGACTTGCTGTGTGGCAGAAATAGGCAAAAAGACAAAACGCATAACACGTCCTACCCAATAGGACTCTCAACAGAAATTAACTAGTAGTACGTTGGTAACCAAATAAGGATATATTAAAGATGAATTTTCGGAAAATATTAGTAACTTCAATTAAAAAAGAAAAAACACCTAGTAACTTCTGAATTTACAATATTTTTTTATTGCCTATGGGCAGACGAGCATACGGGCCACCTGATGGTGAGTGGTTACCGTCGCTCATGGACGTCAGCAATGCCAGGGACAGACAGAGCCAAACCGCTGCCTACCGTAAAAGGGTAATCACAAAGGGCAACCGTAATAGGGGCATAAAATGAAATTTGTTATATAGAGATTTAGTATTTTAAATAAGAAAAAAGAACCGCTCACATTACACATTTAGCATTTTTAGTTTCGTATGTTAGTTAGAGCGAGCAGTAAGTACCAAGATCATCTGGTATGAGCGTGACGGGTTCTGGCGCGGGCTGCAGGGGCTGCGGGGCGCGGGGCGGCGCGTGCGCGGACCAGCTGCCGTCGGCGTGCAGCTGGATCTCGTTGCAGTCGGCGGCCAGGCGCGGCGACGTCAGCACCTCCTGGAAGTAGCCGTCCACGACGAGCGAGTCGTAGGGCGCGGCGCGGTCGCACACCGGACACAGCCAGGTCGGCTTGCGCTCGTTCATCTGCAGGAACAGCGACGCGTCGAAGCACTGCAGGTGCGGGCAGTTGGCGGGCCGGCACGGACACGACATGCGCATCTTGCCGAGCGGGCACATCAGCGACACGCGCAGCGACGTCGTCGCTATCTCGCTGTCGTAGTCCTCGGACAGCTTCTCTTTTACTGTTGCACAAAATTAACGTGGTGGGTCAATCAAACTACTCCCTTTACACCCTAGCTTTGCCACTCATATAGTGCAATCAATATTACTAAATATTTAAGAATTTGTTACCTAATCAAACTTAACATCCTACTACATGGTATCGGTAGAAGGGGACAACACAAATTATCTGTCAATGGTTGATATAGCTATGACAGTAATGGTTCTGAAACTTTTTATTACTTTATTCACATTTAAGTTTAAAAATTTTTCTCCTAGTAGTCATCATCTTATCATCTTAAGCTTTGCAGCCCAGGGCGAGCCTTAACCTTGGTCTAGTATTATTCTCCAGACCTTTTTTTCTAGTGTGTGTCAGAATATACGACTAAGGGATCTAATAGCGAATTGACTGTAGCATTCTCAGAGTTTTATACCAATGCCGCGCGATCGACATATACTGTTGGTAAGGTCTAAGTAAATGGTCGTACTGATACCATGATACATTTCCGTCGCAAAGCAGTCATGCGTATTCTTCCATATTTATGCAATAAAATCGAGATCATAGACCTTCGACCATATCCCTCAAGTTGGACGGCCTCATTAACGTGTTGTCTGTGGGCTCCACTAACTTTACAACAGAGAGCTCGTGAGTCCATTCACGCATCTACTAAGTAAAACTCTTCATCATTGCAGTTTAATGGCTAGTTTGTAGCACTGACAATAACACAACTGTTAAGATTTACCACGCTCTGGAGTGTTTCAAGCTGTCAGTTTATTCCTTTGCATCGTTTTAGTGAACAAACCTTTATAGACAATTTGTTATTTGACTTTTGATTTTTGTTATCTGACAAACTATTGCGCCCTTGTGATTTTAGCATTTGCGATATAGACAATAGACTTGGGTGGTCATTTTCTATCAACACACTCGTTTACCTCAGTGCTTGTAGAAACAATAATTAACACAAAAAAAAGAAGTTTGAGAAACTCTGTCCAATGTCGAAAACAGTTGAGTTGGCGTATTTTCTCACTGGATACAGTTATAACAAAACGAGTTGAAAGCGATGTAATAGAATCGCACTTACTTAAGGATCTAGTGTAGTCTGGATTTTTGGTGCCCTTGTTCTTCAGCCGCTGTAGTAGCTCTGCAGACGTGAGCTTTTTCACCATGAAGACGCTCAACACGTAAGCTCGTGTAAAGTCCGCCGCCCACGTCACCTGGATCGTGTTGGAGACCGTGGGCGACAGCTTCACGAGCGACGATATGTTTACTGGACGCGGTGGCCTTTTTGGTTCTGGAGTTGGCTTATTGGTCGGTATTGGATTCTGTAGATTGCAAATGAATACATTGTATATTTCTTAAAAAAATAATAGAATTTTTTATAATTACTGGAGTTAAATAATTTGTATAATTAAACCTGCTTACTTTCATTATTTTTAATCTTCGTCTACTAGACTGAAGAGTACGAAGCATGGTAGTAACAATGTCAATAGACTTGCTATCCTACCCTACTGCCAATTCGTTTAGAGAATTGGAGGCAAGGAAAAGTAATTCCTTTGGAAAAGAAAACTGTTATGTATGTAGATGAGTTGGAATGGGTAGCAGTAATTAGAGACAGTCGGGGTCCCGACAATTATAATCAGTGTAGGATCCGAAGACATGCGTGTATTCCTTAATATATTCTGATAATAGATATTGATGTTAAGAATACTTACTGGTAGCGGACACATCTTGTTATTGACTTTGACATTAACGCTAGGAGGGAAGTGGTCCTCTTGTTCACATGAAGTCTCCAGCAAACAAAACCGCAATTGAGCCTGTTAGCAATAATAATGCATGCAGTTTACATAGAGTTTAGTAGTAGTACTTAGAGTAGTATGCTTTTATGGCAAACTAAAGTGAGCATTAATTTTTTGTATCCGGATCAGGATATTAAGCTAAAGTGACAAAATAAATCAATTTAATATGACGTATTAAAGAAAACAAATACTTTGAAAGATTCTGTTTCATAAATACAATAAAACATGTCGAACTAATAAATGTTAAAAAAAACAAATCATATTTGTTTTCTTTTCTGTCGTGTTTTGGGCGACGTCGACTGCTTTCCATTCTGTCCGCAGGATCGGGAATGTAGTTACCGCGGCCGCGATGAGAGGGTTCTCGTGTCGTGCCGCTTTGTCGAAGTGGCGCATCGATGCCGACTGTAGATACAAACTAAAACACACACCTGTATTATGTAATCAAGTTTGTTGCTGGTGCCGACGATGTCCTTGCCGGTCGCTATCTCGGTCGCCTGCTGCGGGGTCAGGTGGAATATGTACGTGCTCTCCTGCATTCGTCCCGCCTGTACCGGCATCATCGTTGAAGGTTTCATTAACTCTGCTAGCACGTCGTAAAACGGTAACCTATAAGCATCAACAGTCATTTTACAACAAATAAACCAGTCAAAATCAATATTTTCACGGATTACTTTTTTCTGACGGGACATTAGCTTAAGAGCACCCGCGCTGCTGGTGCGTAAGGGTTGCCGCACACGGGCTACCGGCCACAACCACAAAACGCCTCCACCGGAATATTTCCTGTAATTTTCATACATTTTATATGTAGCGTGTGGCGGCCATCGGCGTCATCCGCGTGCGGCCAGTCAATATAAAATGTATGAAAACAACAAGAAATAGGTCGGTGACTGCGTTCTGTGGTTGTGGCTGGTGGCCGTGGCGTGGGCGGCAACACTAAGAGAGCCGTAAATATTATAAAACCCTGCCATTATTTTTTCGGACAAGCAACCGACTAAATACCATACTGTAACCAGTATCAAAGGTCATAATGGCAATGTCCTCTTTAGCGACGTTAGCAGCCTTTTTCCCCTACCTAATCGCTGGTAAGGCGCTTTGCCAGCCACGCTCGGACGGGTTTACAGCTGTTTCGATATTATAGCGGCGATTTTACCTATAATATTGCCGGTATCTATGACTGCAGTGACCACACTCTTATGCCTAATGATACAATATCATTCTCAGTATCAGATACAATCTCATTCAGTTACATTCAGATTCGGTCACCGTCCTCGTCGAACCCTCCAAAGGCTCGACGAGTGAATTAACCCATAGACACATCCCATTGAGTGAGCTCAGCTACACGTCAAGGAGAAGCTGAAATAGCCTCTCAAAGCTATCAGCATAGATAGGGAACAAAAAAAAGCATTCAGATAATAGCCATCCAAAACGTGGTAGGGGCCAGCGCGGACAACATGTCCAACCATGTTTCCATTTTTTTTATTGCCCTTGTAAGGAGACGAGCATACGGCCCACCTGATGGTGAGTGGTTACCGTCGCCCATGAACTTCAGCAATGCCAAGGACAGAACCAAGCCGCTGCCTACCGCATATAGCCACAAATGGCCCAACAGCCATTCCCGTTTGTCCTATATGTTTTGTTTAATAAAAACTGCATTGTTATGTGTTATCTTACTTTTTAAATTTGACGTCGGGGTGCACGGGAAAAGGCGGTAGCGGCGTGGTAGGTGACGGCGAAGGCATTGGCGCCAAAGCCGCCGGCCCGGCCGCTCCGCCATACCCGTGGTACATGGCGCCCGCATACAGCGGGTTTTGCCGTGCCTGAAATCATTGTCAGTTAAGTTTTTTTTTAAGAAAGAAGAACTAGTCGTGACCCGGAAGACTTTCCAGTTTCACCAGGACACAGACTCAACTAAGAAAGATGGAATTTGCTAACGACTCCCTGAGGGCGCTTGCAGAGGAGACCTGACAACTCGAGGTTAACTTGCGAATGATTTCAGTTTAGTTACAGTTAAAAAAGCTCACTTTCCTCTGAAAACGATTAGTAAATATTAATACTCTAATATAATTACCGAGACTGGCATTGTTTGCGATCGTGTATCCTGTGGATTGTAGCCGCTAACGGCGGGATGCTGGTACATGTTGCGCGAGTTAGGAACGACCGGCGCCAAAGGGTCCTTGCCTTGAGAGCCACCAGGGCCTACGTTGCCGGACGACAGTGCCTGACTGGTCCTGTTCAATTACGTACATGAAAATAAACAGTGGGCACTATTGAATTATTGTCGACAGTAAGGACACGGTATGATCTCGGTTTCAGGTGAGCTCTGAACCGTCTTACCCTGTTTTCTAGGCTATGGGCAATTTTCAATCATAAAATGCAAAAACACATGGCATGTTTCATGGTATGGCATGGTTGTTTTGAAATTTTCATTAGTACCAATTTTTTTAAGTTATACTTCTTTAGGCGCGTTATGAAAAATTAATGAGATTGAAATTTTACGATGCGCGCGCACCGTGACACAAAATTAACAGAAATGAAATTGATGAGTGAAATTTAAGATGCGCGCGCACCGTGACACAACATTAACAGAAATGAAGTTGCCCACTAAATCGCCCATTAAGTTAAGGAAAAAATGCTAGCAACAAAACGGAAATGGAACCTCTGTTAGTGGCGCATGTTGGCACGCACGCCGCCTCTGTTCACTGTGTATTTATATTTATAATATTTACCCACATGCTTTGAGTTTCTACATTTAAAACACGTGTTTTCATTTTGTTTTCATTATACAAGTGCGAATTTTATATGTGCGTCTGAATTATAATCAGAATGGATTTAAATTGAATATTTAAATCAATACTAATTAATATTAGAAAATATTTTGTGAAATAATTGTGCTCGTCAACCTTCCTAAGTGCTCCAATACAATTGAGGTTAACTATCCGTAGTATGTATTATTTAGTAATATAAATGACAAAATTATTATTTAATATAATTCATACTAAATATTATTATAATAAATTATTAACGTTAAATATTTATTATTAATTATTTAATATTTAAAAAAAAAGAAATAAATTTAATAAAAATAAAGTATAACTTCTTATGCGCGTACATATATTTTTTAAATTCCTGATGAGCTCTTTTTAGTCGAGGAAAATTACTATACGGTAAAGAAGTATCTACGTCCATATCAATTTGTTCATCAATAGAAGTATTAATAAACTGTTCCGGAGAAATGGAAGGAACGGCTTCTCCGTCTTGTGGAGGTAATTCCTGGTCCATAATCGTGTCTTGATTTAATCTATCACGCTCCTGATCATGTACAATGTCTTGAGTAGATAAAATATGTACATTCGAGGCACCAGCTAATTGTTGAATAGTTTCTTGGGCATGAAGCAGTCGATTTTGCCCGTGTCTGCTAATAAATTATTTTCTGATGTACGTTGATTATACGGCACAGGAGAATTAGTCATATGCACCTCATACAACTATAAAGTTGCGATTGTCGTGTGTTGAAGCAGATAAAAATGAATCGTTTACATTATCGCCATCATGATCAGCGATACCAGTACTGGACAGCGTTGAGACATCTGGTCGATTTGTACTAGCACTGATGGTAGCTAACCGAAATGATGGCGCAAAAGTCCTTATTCGTGAACTTGAAGTTGACGGTGTGGATAAAATCTCAGCCACGGATGACTCGTCTACTTGTGAAAGCATTTTTTTTCGCAGCCTATAGGCACGATTACGTTCTGCTCCTGTTTTTCTTATTGGCTTGTTTACTGACAAGCCTTGACGAGCTTTTTCAGCTTCCTTGGCAGCTTTTTTTCGATTGTAATAGTTTTTACAATGTTCCGCATTTGTTTTACCCATCTTGAAATCTGAAATAGAAATTGAATAGTAGTACCATTAATAGTCATCAAATGTAAGCGAAAAAACTCTTAGATTGATAATTAAGAATGATAGTAAAAAATTAGATATAAAAATTAATAATAAATATTAAAAATTGACATTTAATAATTCAATTATATACATAATATGGCCTCATTTGTACTACATATTACAGAATTCTTAATTTAAAATATTTATTTGTTAATAATTAATTCATATTTCAAGAGTCAATGAATGAACTTATTGATAAATTTGAAAATTGTATTTGAATTTATTCATTTTTTTAATATTTATTATTTATTCAATTAATTCCTTTATTTTTTTTAAATACTAAATAATTAATAATAAATATTTAACGTTAATAATTTAATAATATTTAGTATATCAATTATTTATTAATATTTAGATAATATTAATTAATATGTATTATAATTATGATTATTATTATTATATTATCATTCAATTTAATAATAAAATTTAGAAATAATATTTAATATTGATGTTCAATTTTAATTTTTTGTTAATGTTTGTGTAATGTTTTATTAATTTTCTTTTTTTTTTAATATTAGGTATATTATTCAATTATTAATTAATATTAACGATAATATAATTATAATTATTATATTATATTATTCATTCAATTTAATAATAAATATTAAAAGTTAATATTTAAATTTGATGTTCGATTTTCTTTTTATCACAAATTTTTCACTGAATGTTTTATTACATTTATTTCTTTTTTTTTTAAATATTAGGTAATTAATAATAAATATTTAACGTTAATAATTTAATAATATTTAGTATGAATTATATTAAATAATAATTTTGTCATTTATATTACTAAATAATACATACGGATAGTTAACCTCAATTGTATTGGAGCACTTAGGAAGGTTGATGAGCACAGTTTTTTCACAAATATTTTCTAATATTAATTAGTATTGATTTAAATATTCAATTTAAATCACTTCTGATTATAATTCAGACGCAGATATAAAATTCGCACTTGTATAATGAAAACAAAATGAAAACACATGTTTTAAATGTAGAAACTCAAAGCATGTGGATAAATATTATAAATATAAATACACAGTGAACAGAGGCGGCGTGCGTGCCAACATGCGCCACTAACAGAGGTTCCATTTCTGTTTTGTTGGTAGCATTTTTTCCTCAACTTAATGAGCGATTTAGTGGGCAACTTTATTTCCGTTAATGTTGTGTCACGGTGCGCGCGCATCTTAAAGTTTCACTCTCATCAATTTTTCATAACGCGCCTAAAGAAGTATAACTTCCAAAAAAAAAAACGTGAAATATATAAGAGCACTCAATCTGAATTATTTTTATCTGTTTTAATTTAAGTTTCTGAGATATAATAATTTATAATTTTTGGTTCATTTTGTACGGATGTCCCTTTTTCATCAAAAGTCGAGCATCGACATAACATTGGTAGGGCACACAAAAACATTATTTTATTATTTCATTCAATAATAGTCTGTCTAGTAAAAAGGGTGCGTGTACTTATGTACGCGCGTAAGTTATACTTTATTTTTATTAAATTTATTTCTTTCTTTTTTTAATATTAAATAATTAATAATACATATTTAACGTTAATAATAATTTAATAATATTTAGTATAAATTATTTTAAATAATAATTTTGTAATTTATATTACTAAATAATACGTACGGATAGTTAACCTCAATTGTATTGGAGCACTTAGGATGGTTGATGAGCACATTTTTTCACATATATTTTCTAATATTAATTAGTCTTGATTTAAATATTCACTTCTGATTATAATTCAGACGCAGATATAAAATTCGCACTTGTATAATGAAAACAAAATGAAAACACGTGTTTTAAATGTAGAAACTCAAAGCATGTGGATAAATATTATAAATATAAATACACAGTGAACAGAGGCGGCGTGCGTGCCAACATGCGCCACTAACAGAGGTTCCATTTCTGTTTTGTTGGTAGCATTTTTTCCTCAACTTAATGAGCGATTTAGTGGGCAACTTCATTTCTGTTCATTTTGTGTCACGGTGCGCGCGCATCGTAAAATTTCACTCTCATCAATTTTTCATAACGCGCCTAAGGAAGTATAACTTCAAAAAAATATATAACACGCTTTTAAATTCTTTTTTTAACAAATTGTGTATCTTTTGGAATTTCTATGGGGTATTAGATTTGGAATAAGGTAATACAAATTAATCAATACGAAAAACTATGACAAAATCGTATTTATTTCATAAAGATCATTACACCTAAATCGCTATAAAAATACAATTGTAACCTTTGTAAAATCTCGTTTATTTACTACCTAGTCTGGCCATAAATACTGAGACAAAGGAAAAAAAATCTATTGCAAATAACATTTATTACTTTTACAGTGTGTTATTTTAATACATAAATATAAAACAATTTAAAGTATAAAAAGCTTATTCGAAGTGGTCTCCATTGACTGCAATACAGTCCTTTAAACGTTGAGGCCAGTTATCAATAGAAGCACGCACTCTTTCCATGGGAAAATTTTTCACTGCCAATCGTACGATTGTTTTAGGGACTCCAAATTATCATGGCGTTTAGAGCAAGCCGTACTCTCTAAAACTGAGCATAAATCGTAATCCAACGGATTAAGATCGGGACTAGACGACGGCCAGTCTTCAGCTCTGATTAAGTCCGAAAGTTCGTTTCCAACCAAGACTGCGTAGACCGAGCTTTATGACCTGGCGCCGAGTCTTGCTGGAAGGACCATTCTTGATTATTGAACATGGTGTTGTTAAGGGGCTTCACTACCTTCTCAAGAATGGTATCTTGATACACTTGTGCCGATGTTTTGATACCTTTTTCACAAAAGTATAGCTCAGTCACTCCTTCATAGCTAATACCCCACCAAACCATCACTGAAGTCGCATAGTGCCCACGTTGCACTCTGTCGACTAATTGGGAAGATTCCTTAGAGCTTGGAGCATAAATACGGTCATTTTGTTGGTTAAAATATTGCTCAATTGTAAAAAAATTCTCATCCGTAAACAAAATTTTTCTATGACCTCCCTTTGCGTACCGCTTCAGTAGTTGTTTCGATTTTACCACCCTATTCTCTTTTAAATTATCAGTTAAAAAATGACCAGTACGTCTCTTATAGGCTGCAAGTCCTTAGTCATCTTTTAAAATACGCGACATGGTTCTAGGTGCTATCTTCCGAGATAAAATCGTTTGCTTTCGGACAGGATTTCTTCGAATTCTTTCCCTTACTGCTTTGACCACCTTTTTCGTACGAACACTACGTGGACGGCCAGATTTTTTTCTGTCACAGAGGAGGCATCATTGCACCTATTAATAGCCCGGTACACAAACATTTCACTAATACCAAGCGTATGGAGAGTTTTAAAAATTGCATTTGGCTCCATACCTACTTTGTGTAATGCAATCACAGCGATTCGGTTCTCTTTATCACCCCACTCCATTTTAATATCGCAAAATATTGTACAATGTATTGGCGCCAAAATGAGAAAACTCAATGAGCAATCATATAAAAATGACAGATTCCAAATTCAAATGTAATAATTTCTTTATTTTTAATTGTAAAGGTATTTATGGCCAGACTAAGTAAAATAATTACTTTAATAATTGCTCCAGGTCGATTTTTTTCATTTTTTTTTATGTTCGATCTACGACGTCCCAACATTATTCTGTGTCATTATTCTTCATCTTATTCAGATTACATCAACTTGTTCCTATATGTTAGACTTTTTCTATCCGTATTACTTTTAGGAAACGTGGTTGTGATCATTTTCTACAACTGAAAGATCTTTTGAGCTTTCTATGACCCGCTATAGGAGTTGTTACAACAGTTACTTAATGGATACCCACGTCACGACATTAATGTAGACGGTACAATCTGTTTATAAATACTGTTACAATAAAAAATACATTAATATTACATTTGTATTTGAAACATATTTTATTTGATAATTCATTGTCGAAATTGAATGAAAATTCACTGTGATAGCATTAACCTATGAAGCCAAATACATTTTTTAAGTGAAACTTCTTTAGGCGCGTTGAGAGTAAAATTTAACTCGCGTTAGATTCTTTGGGGCTAGAGAGAAAAGATACAATAGAATAGAAATAGATAGAAAATAAATATTTAAGGATGAAAAATGATGAAAACCACAATACTAAACACCGCAAAAGAAGTTTCACTTCTTTCACGTACAACAAGTTGCACGCGTACCATTTTTATTTTATTTCTTCGTTCGCTTCGGATTAGTCAAGTGCATGTGCACCGAGCGATTGATAGGAAAAAACGAAGCCCGTTTGCAGCAGCCAAGTTCTGGCCATCTACGTACTTTTAGTGCTAAAACGTTGATCAGAGCAAGGAAAGACAGAATTCGAGGAAATCCTTTCGGAAACTAAAACATTTTATATAGGAGTATTCGAAACCATTTCGCGTTTTTTTAAAAGAGGTCTTAGAACTTCTTAATAATACATTGATTAGTTTTTTTAATAATATTATTCGGTAATATTTTATTAATAACCAAAATGTTGTTTCTTCTCAAAGCTTTATTGAAGCATCTCAATTAGTCACTAGGGTACAACTTGGTCTTATCCGGCTAGAGGAAGGTCTTGATGGGGTGCTAAGTACCAGGGGAGCCTCGTCGTATTTTTCTGAAAACGACTTCAATACAAAATATTATTATTGAAAACGATGCATCGTCTTCGCCTGACTCTATGGTGCTTGAAGTAAAAAAACTGTTGAAGAAAGGCCTTGGTCGTTTAAAACCTGCTCTGGAATGAACGAATATCCTCAACCGACTCTCATGAATCTACATTCTATTCTTCCTGTTTATACGTAATCAAAAATGAAATTCGCCCCAGCTTGCAGTCGCATCGCAACACCAACGATCGTATTGTTTAACGATTTATCGATATTGCTTCCTCATCTTCAATGGTGCCAGCATCGCGCCCGCTTGACGTGATGACAATAAGCGTTTAAGCTTTGTTAATCTAAAATATAATATCTATTAAATTTATTACAAAAAAAAATCCCCATCTATTCACTAGTATACTTTTTTCCCCTACCCATGCTGATAGCCTTGAGAGGCTATATCAGCGTTACCTTAGCATGTAGGTGAGCTCTCGGAGCTCAAACCGGAGGTGTTGCTAACACTAGCCCTAGCCAGAGCAGTGCTTCGCAAAATCTACCACCGGATAGGAAACGCGACCCACTGAGAAGACCCGGCGAGAAACTCTGGGTTAGTTTGCTCGTCGAACTCTTCAGCCTAATCGGACGGTGACCGGTGCTTTAGGGCCCTAAAAGCGCCGATTGGATCCGGGGAATCCGACAAGACATGTTTCGGGCTACGGCGGCTTTGCGTTGCCCCGTCGCCTGAGTCAGAAAAGTAATTAGCAACGGTCACGATAAGAGAACTATCATGTCATCACGTCACTTGTCGAAGTAGCATTCTGGCGCCACCTTAAGATACTTACGTTCGGTTTTAAATTTAGGTTGTCATACAAGTCAACATTCCTGACGCACCATAGTGTTCCGACGGCTACCCTGCAAAAACGGGATTGGATGATCTGGAGAAAGTTTATGGGAATGCGGGCCACATGAGCGAACACTATACTTGCATTTCTAAATCTACCTAACTACTGACCGGGTAGCAAGGTGGATGCCAAAATTTAAATTATCAAAAAAATACATAAATATGAAAGTATGCACTTACTTTTTTACTTCTTTATTGTTTTCTCCAAAAGCACAATCGGCACGTTTCAATAAATCAATCAAAAGATAATTTTAATACAGAGAATCCCGGAACCACCAATCACGTCAATCGCTGTCCCAAAAACTCAAAACATTCGTCGAATTTTTTTAATGTAAATAGTTTTATCATCAAAGATTTCAAATCATATAGTAGATGATTAATCAATCAAGAAAAAAAAATTTTTTTTTTTTTTTGTCTCGACACGACACGAATTCTCAAGAAGTGTTGACTATGAACGATACGTCAGGGTATTTTAAAATGAAAGTGTCTTTACAACTAAAAAAGGAAGGTAAATGAATGGAAATCTTTATGAAGGGTGATTTTCTGAGAGTGCTGACGCTCTAGAGTTCATTATATCGTATAATCTGCCAGCTAACGTTGCATTTGATGAACCTATTTCGTTTTTAATTTGCAATCATTTCAATTCCCCCTTATATTGAAAAAAAAAAATTGTTGAATTTTACAGTTACAATTTTTTTGTTTTAGGCAGGAGACAGTACCACTCATTTAATTTAATAGTGCTTGTTTTCCTATCTATAGCAATTTTTGTAACTATTTATTTTAATTCTTTAGTCACACTATTTTCAAAAATACACCTTTTGTTGACATTATAATTAATCTACATCTTAAATTTCATAATGATATGGGTCCAATTATACATGCAACATTGGCTTTAATTATACACATTCAAACTTGGATAAGCGAGAGTTCAAGGGAGCACAATCTCATTCTCGTTTATAGAGGTTTCTCACCTTTGATTATATACACGTTAATCAAAGTTTCTCACTAACCCGAGTTTCTCGCTAATGCAGGTAGCGTTTCTCTCTTATAGAGGTACCTACGCAGCCATAACAAGACGTAGCAAGTACGAATGTAGTAAATATGTAATATGATAAATTTATGTGCATAATATGCACAACATATCTTATGTACATATATATTGTGTTAAGTTCATTAGATCTCGACATATAAGTACTTTATAAGGGTAGGTATCAATATGCTAACGAAAACGAAACAAAAATTCATGGCACTATGTAATTTTATTTTATTTAGAACTTATTTTTATTTATTTTTCATTTTTTACTTGTATTTCAATTTCTTAAATTTTTTTTTAATTTTGAATTATCGTCGGCCCTTATCAAGTATACCAAATTTCGAGTTAATCCGACGTTTTGAAGGGGGTCAAAATCATGCTCAAAGATTCCGTTTCATACTAACATACATACGTCTAAAGCTAATAAAAGCGTATTAACAATGCAGTTTCATACGCGTTATAAATATCGTCTGGTTCATACCCTTCTAAAAGATTTGGGAGATCTTCAGTCCAGTGGTTGCACACACCTTGGTCCACAGATTTACTTTTCCCAGCTGCTTTTTTGAAAGCTACATCATGACGCCTTTTAAAACCCTCTAACCAGCCGTTGCTAGCAGAAAAGTTCTGGATTCCCAGTTTTGTAGCAAACTCTTTTGATTTTTTTTTCAACAGAGGTCCATTTATCGGAGTATTCTTATCGAGAGTTTGTTTTATCCATTCCAAAAGGCACTTTTCGATATTGGGAAATTCAGAAACTTTAGCCCTCTTAATATTTCCATGTCCATCAGAGCACTCACACTTTATAGAGTCTTTTGATTTTATAATTTTATAATAGGTGGATTCTGGTAAATTAAACTCCCTCTGAATTTCATTTCGCGATTTTCCGGATTCAAATGCATTCACTATTTTAAGTTTATCACTTAATGACAGTACTTTAATTTTCCGTTTTGACATGNAGCCGTTGCTAGCAGAAAAGTTCTGGATTCCCAGTTTTGTAGCAAACTCTTTTGATTTTTTTTTCAACAGAGGTCCATTTATCGGAATATTCTTATCGAGAGTTTGTTTTATCCATTCCAAAAGGCACTTTTCGATATTGGGAAATTCCGAAGTTTTAGCCCTCTTAATATTTCCATGTCCATCAGAGCACTCACACTTTATAGAGTCTTTTGATTTTATAATTTTATAATAGGTGGATTCTGGTAAATTAAACTCCCTCTGAATTTCATTTCGCGATTTTCCGGATTCAAATGCATTCACTATTTTAAGTTTATCACTTAATGACAGTACTTTAATTTTCCGTTTTGACATGATGCAGAACAGAACCTTCCTTCGCTATTGACAAACGATAAACTGAGTAAGTCCAACAAACAGGACGGTACAAAGGGACACGTGTCCATTCGAAAAGTATACGATAAAATAACAACGTTATTCAGTTCCACGAAATAGAATAGGTTCAATATTGACAAGAAAACAATACAAAAACAATGGCAGGACGTTCCACGAAAGTTAAGAATGAGTCATAAAATAGCAGATGTTAAATTTGTAATTTGTTTTGTCATTTGTTCCTCCTAAATAATATAAATAAATAAAGCTCGACTGTCGCTTATAGAGGTATACGAGTCCCGATGCAAAATAGTTCGTCTATATAGTGTGAAATTTTCACTGTGAGATTTTTTTCTTATAAAAGTTATTAAACTGTTCTACTATCGCATGTCGCGCTACTTATGCCCTTTTTTAATTATGAACCCATAAACTATTTTAGCTTTTGAAATTTATAAATACTAGTAGTCCCCGGCCCCGGGTAGTCGAAATTCGACTATAATTAATTGAAATTATAAGTTTGTACACTATTATTATTCTATAAAGATACTTCTATAATCACAGATTTAGCCAAGACTACACTTCAATAATGATAAAAAAATATTAAGGCAGATTTATATTGAGTCAGTAACTAACGTCAGTACTGGCGCCGAAAACTGACCCATACGATTTATACGCAGTAAGTACTTCGTCAGTAGTTGAGGATATTTCTTATGGTGTACACACTTTTGTAGTCAGTGTGGAAAAATGAATTCTCGAAAACAGCAAAAAATCTGCGTTAATAATTTGTTGAGAAAATGTACCTTAATGATGATGCAAGAACTAACTGGTATGTTAGAAGAAATATCTAAAAAGAAGCGAATTTGGGCAAGATAATGAATAGGTGCCAGCGATCAAACTGGAGGCTCAGCTCTGTTGTTAACCCAGTTGAGAATTGAAGATCCTGGAGAATACAAACTGGCTTTGAGAATGACGTCAAAAGACTGATGATTTGCGTATGTTGTTTCAAGCTCTATTCAGTGTCAAGACACATTTATGAGAGACGCCTTGCCAGCCAATATTCTGTAATGCTGTTGCGCGCATTTCTTTATTTCTATAATTTTGTGATTTATTATCTCAATATAATAATAATCTTTAAGTTCTCCGTTTCGTTTACTTTTCGCGTCATTTTGTGATGTGGTGCAACGCAGCGTGGTCACCGTACAATAAAGCGGCAGCGACTGACTTCGGCATTTACAAGGCGCCAGTAGCGCTGGGAGTGGGTAGCGGGGGAGCGGACTGACGCCGAAAAATATGAACCAGGAATATTGAAGTCAGTACTGACTTGAAATCAATTTACACGATGGTAATGCCAGGTCAGCACTGACTCGGCAGCGCACTGACGTTATTTACTGACTCAATATAAATCTGCCTTTACTCTATTCCACGGAATAGATAAATAAGGTTGGAATGGTAATGTAGGCGGGGCAAGCGTGCCACAGTTATGATTTTACAAACATAACTCGACCGATTCTTTCATTCACCGCGTTTAGTGCGCTTCGGAATACTTGGGCGAACAGATCTCCGATAATGCCGTGTTGTGCAATTATAACTTGTAAAACAAAAAATCAGACCTCAAGTATAGAGCGAGGAGGTATATCTTTCGATCGGTAAGTCGAAATTACCATTTAATTACAATATTATTTGTCTAAAACATAAAAATATACTGAGCATTATGAAATTCCAAACATTAACAATATTATTGCAGCAAGTTATAAATAGCATACNTAAAACAAAAAATCAGACCTCAAGTATAGAGCGAGGAGGTATATCTTTCGATCGGTAAGTCGAAATTACCATTTAATTACAATATTATTTGTCTAAAACATAAAAATATACTGAGCATTATGAAATTCCAAACATTAACAATATTATTGCAGCAAGTTATAAATAGCATACATTGCGCGATGTGTACTCGCCCAATGAACGCAATGAGCAAGTCAGCTTCCAATGTACTAAATGCATTGCGTTTATTACACTTCAATCTTTGAAATTTCGGCCTTTGCCCTGATTGGCCGTGGTGCAGTTTGTCGATAGTGAGGTGACCATGTGGTGAAATAAAATCATCGACAGAATTCTCGACTATATTTACATTTGACATGGATAAAATTTTTGCATTATTTTATATTTAATTAATGATACCTAGTATATTCTTAGTGAGATGTATTTAGAGTAAAATAAATATGTATTATTATTATTGAATTATTATCATTGAATTAATGTGAAGGTATAATATAAAGGGACATGTAGACTTCTCATTTACGGGTATTTACTATATTGTCTAAGACGTATTAAAATCTAAGCAAAATGCTATTTGACTTATGCAGTAAATAAAAAATTTTAGGTTTCCTAAAGAACCTAACGCCAGGGAACAATGGATTGACCTGACAGGTAGAGGAAACTGGATACAAAGACGAGTACTATTTGCTCTAAGCATTTTACTGAAAATGATTTTACCATAAAAAAATCAGAATACACTTAGTTTTGAAAAATTCATTTGTAATTAATAGCAAGCGCAAACTGCTTAACAAATACGTTTTATTCCAGGGACAGTGACTATTTGTAATTAATAATAGTAAAATAGTTTTCTTTTTCAATATTTATTTCATGTTTCAATTTCTCCATTCATTCATCAGATAATTTATCGATAAAGAATATCGATTTTATCAAGCACTAGCGTGTATGAACATTTTTATTGCCTTTTTGCGTGTGTGAGTATGTATGCCTACGGGTGTTTTGTGCTAGTTTGCGAACGAATATCTGTCCTGAAATTTATGTGTGGGTGTTTTTGTTGTGTGCGAAATACTTGTAATCACAGTATGTGTATGTGTAGAAATTAAAATAGTGGGGATGAAGCGGCGACACTGGTTCTAATACAAAATTAGAGCAAAGGCCTTTACAACCTTATTTATCTATTCCGTGCTCTATTCTCTATTTGACCACAGACTTTAAGCAATAAGAAAAGTTTGACAGTAAACAAATAGTACCTATGCATTATTGTGTGTGTCAAATACATGGTAGTGTGTGTAATGTTTTTTTTATTATTGATTTAATGTATTGTTTATGCATAATTAAAAAAAATATTAACGTTCTGCACTCCTTCTCTATATTCTCTATAACTGTGGGAAATTTCATACTCCTCCGTCCGCGCAATTTTCGTAAAAAGGGGTACAAAATTTTTGCTTCACGTATTAATATAATAGATCCTGTTTTAAATTCGAAGACGTTCTAAGCAAAATAGTTCGTCTATCGGTGAGATTAAATAAGATTATTCCTTCTTTGTACAATTATGTTGCATAATTTAAATTTGTAAAAGTAATTCTGTGTCATTTATCAAGTGAGATAGTATAAATTCTGAAAATTTCAGCTATTTTCATTAGTTTTCAAATAACAATGGGTCGTGGCAAAACCCGTGTGTGAAGAGCTTCGAAAGCGAATAGTTTGTGGGGTCGATGCTGGCAAATCAAGTTACCCAATATCTAAAGACTTGATACTTCCCAGATCTACAGTCCAAACTATCATTCAGCACTATAAAAAGAATAGAACGACTTCTTGTTTGAAGAAAACTGGTCGACCACGCATCAGAAGCAGCAGAAAACAGAATCCTGAAGAAAATTATCAAAAATAATCATCGTGCTCGAGCTGGAGAACTCACGTTGCAATGGAAGGACATGATTCACAAAGACGTCTCAGTTGATACTTGCAAAAGAGTCCTAAGAAGAATGGGTTACGGATTTTACACCGCTAAGGAGAAACTACTGTTGACTGCTGTACAAAAGAAAAAGAGGTTGAAGTTTGCTCGTAATTATTTAAATTGGACTTCCGATCAGTGGTGGTCATCATTTGGAGTTCGATCATCATTTGGAGTGACGAGTCCAAATTTGATGTGACAGTCGGCGGTGAAAGGAAAAAAAGTGATTCGGAACAAAAATGAAGCATTTCATACTGATTGTCTCAAATGCAAAGTGAAGTTTCCGGCGTCTCTTATGACATGGGGCTGCATGTCTGCACAAGGTGTTGGTGGTATGCAGTTTGTTTATGGTTCTATCAAGGCTGCGAGGTATCAAAACCTTTTGGAAGAGAATTTACTGCCCTCTATTCCGTCACTCGAGCATTAAGATTCCTTAATTTTTTAACAGGATGATGCTTCCTGCCATACTGCAAGGACAACAGTAACGTGGCTATTGGCGAAAAGCATCCCTACAATCGAACGGCCATCTAACAGCCCGGACTTGTCGCCGATCGAAACCCTATGGTGGAAAATGAAAAAAGCTCTCCGTAAAATACTTCAAGATCGAAGAGCAACTTAAAGGCTAAACTCTTGGCTGTTTGGGAGTCAATTACGCTTGACGAGTCTGCAATGTTGGTTCCAACCATGTCTCTTCGCATTAAAGATGTCATTGAGAGCAAAGGCGACACAACTGAGTGGTAGACGAACTATTTTGCATGAGTGACAAGGGTAGACGAATACTTTTGCGTTGTTTTTTAGAATATTTTTTAAATTTTATGTAAAGTCATGAAAGAATTTCAGTATATTAAAATAAACTTTAAAATGTTCCTCAAATTGTGGTTTATTATTTATTAAAAGTTCTTAATTATTATTTTACCAATATTCACTTTCTATATTTTACGCTTTCACTACTTTCCATACTAGACTATTCCATACAGAACTATTTTGCATCGGGGCTCGTAGGTAAACAGCAGTCTCACTTACGGAGGTCCATGAGGGAAAAACTACTCTCTCTTACAAAGGTTTAATTCTCGCTAATAGAGCTTTTGGGAGCTTAAAATTACGATTCCTGGCTATTACTCTCACTTATAGAGTTTTCTCACTTACCCAGGTTTGACTGTATATTTGCATCGCTCTTTTCCCAACACCAAAAGCCAAGATGGCATGCTCAATATGCATGTTGCAGTCCAACTTTAAGACAACATACTTTTACTGCCTATAAGAGGATATGACATTTTATTTGTCTTAAAATTGAACTATTTCAGATAGATCTTTCACACTCATGTAACACACAAGTGATTAGTATGTGTCGTCAGATGTCATGCTGGTAACTGACGATGTGGACGCAACACAGACTGACACTTGCCTAGATGAGTAGCTCTTTTGTGATCGGTTGTTGTGTCCATTCTCAGTGGTTTTGAGTCTGGTTCTAAGTTCAGAAGACGTTCCATTTTCAGCAGACGCATTGGTGGCCGCGTTTCCTACTCTCGCTGAAGATCGTGTTTTAACCATTGTTGACGAGCGACCATGTCATGTCAACTGAAATTCACGAATCCCAAAAAGGGACAAACTATAAAGTAACTATTAGGAAAGTGCCTTTTTCTGGAAAATTTCTTCAATGTGGCAAAGAACCGCAGAACACCTTNCGGAAGACGTTCCATTTTCAGCAGACGCATTGGTGGCCGCGTTTCCTACTCTCGCTGAAGATCGTGTTTTAACCATTGTTGACGAGCGACCATGTCATGTCAACTGAAATTCACGAATCCCAAAAAGGGACAAACTATAAAGTAACTATTAGGAAAGTGCCTTTTTCTGGAAAATTTCTTCAATGTGGCAAAGAACCGCAGAACACCTTATTTCTCTTATGCTGTAAACTGCAAGTAGGGAATGGGATCTTTTATAGATAAACATCTGCAATTGAATAATTCCATTATTGTCGTCAATGGTTAAAACAAGTCTTGCAGCAAATACATATCATAGAAACCGAACCTTTGAAACGTAAATAAAATTGAAAACAATGATGATCCTTTCATTTAGTGGTATTTGGTAAATTATTCCACTGCAGCTGTGAATGAGTGAGGCTATGGAGAAAAAGTACATTAACAAATTCATCTTGTTACATTCAACATTATATTGAACAAAAGACTGACAGGAGCCAAGAGAAATAAGGAATTTGTCCTGTCAATGAAATTTTCCAGAAAATAAATAAATAAATTTTATTAGTACAGTTGGACTGTCAAGGTTTAAGATCGAGAAATGAGAATCACTCCAATTTGCCATTTGCAATTTGGGATAATAGTTTGTTATTTTTATATTATTTGTTTACGAATAAATAATTTAATTTACTGAGTAACAAGGTACATTTTAGAATATTACTACTAATCATTATACAATGACAATATTCAATGATGTGATGTGAAACAATAAATAAATGAAAAATTTATGAGAATTCTGGCTGGAGTGTTTAGATAAAAGTACAAAAATAAAACTGAAAATAAAACATAATGGACAATGTAGTGTTAATTTTTTTCTGATGCTTTTACATGAAGATTTTGCTTTTTGTGTAACCACTCCATGTTTCAAACATAATGATAAATCAACGCAATCGTTTAACAATTGGAAATTCTGAATTTGAATGTACTTTTACTTAACAAGAAAAAGCTGGAATACTCAACTACTAAATAACTCACCAAACATAACTTTGTTTGTTTGTATCAAAAACATTGTTAAAGTTTATCTCTATTTACAGCGAGCGAGGAAAGACCACTGATTTACATTGATTTTGAAATGCAAATAACGTGATACTGTAACCGTCCCCCTCCTGAATTTGAATAAAAATCAATAATCACCCCTGCGGTCAATTGACGCCGTGCTGCGTTCTCTAAATGTCATACGAAAACTAAAGTCAGCATACTTTATTAAATATTATTATACTTTATTCCGGCATACAGACCACGTTATACCGAACGAATAACGTAGGCACGTAGTCTTTCACAGAAACACGTTAAATCGACGTACCTATCATTTATCAAATAAACAATGTTATTCAAAAAGCCCGGTACGTGACTCAATTTTATTTACACTACAGTTAGCTACATCTACTGTTAGATATTTTAATACACCTTCGAATTAAATTTAATGAAATATATGAGAAATACATGTTGTAAACTTATAAAACAAATGTAAAGTGCATGTCAAAGTGGACAAAAAAAATACTCACCATGATATCGCGTTACCGTAATCGTAGTATCTACTCATATTATGTTTATGTTATCAAAAAATTTCTGACATTAAATTTACTTAAAAACACTATTTACAAAAGTTTATTTCTAAACGCCATCACTTGACGCTTGCGGTCGAATCACTTGTGTCTTGGCGGCCATATTGGCAATAGACTATTTTCTACTTTTTACGCTGGGCCGCACTGGAACTGTGAAGTCCCAAAGAAAGTCAAAATCTTCTCAGTGCAGCTATGAACTGAGTATTTTAGATATTTTTTTTAAATTACCTACATCCTAAACGATTACAATTACGAAATGGACTGTACTGATATAAGAATTAACACAAGTAGGAAATGAGTTAATGAAACGTTCCACCATAAACAAGATAATTCACCGAACTTCATTTCCGTTTCCTAACAAATCGTGCTGTGAAAAGCTTGTTTGGATACACTAGGAAAAATGCATCTAAGCTTTATCTAGCATTAGTTTAAATTTACAAGAAGAACCTTTCAACTTTGTGGAGAATGTTGTAGAATACAAAGGATTGAAAATTATAAAAATGAGGTATATATAGGTATATGAGGTATTAGCAAAAAATACGTCACTGTGATTTAATCGGAACGTTTTTTGAAATAATTAGTTGCTAGATTAATAGTAAAAAATGATTTTTTATTCTCTGGCTAGTTTCTTTCTATTTGTTTTGATATTTACTACGTCTACTATCATTACAGTGATGTTATATGTAAGGACTTTTTTCTCGATAGTAAACAATGATAATGAACTTGAAATAAAGTTATAAATAATAATGTAAGGAAATACAAATTATTTAATTTTTGAATTTAGATTTCGACTGATTTTAATTCCTGAACATTGAATTTGGTAATTCATATTAATATTTGTTTTTTGTTTTAGTTACAAATATATGAAGTGTTATGATTAAATACTTCTACAATTTTATTACACATGGTCACATAATCCTACCCAGCGATAGGAACTGAATTCATGACCGAGATTTAAGTAAGTAAATAATTTTATTACTTAGGAAATGATGAATTGTTTATTCAAATAGCAAGACACCGTTTAAGATATTATGTAAAAATTAAGAATCAACTAACGCGCATATTCAATGGTAGTAAATTTGACCATACTAAAACATTACCTAAAATTCTTGTTGGCTTATGAGGAACATTAAAAAACAAAATAAATCAATGCACACAAATTTTCTGTCAGTTAATTTATAATTTTGTAGGTAGTTTTTATTTAGGTGTTACGTATACGATACATAGTTTGCGTTGTTTAAAATGACAAATATGATTTTTAGATTCCTTTTTTTATACTGTCATGTTGGTAAAAACTACTTGTATTGGAGGTATCTGATTAGTACAATAAATTCGAGATTAACGTAACAGAAGAATCGCCAAAAGCGTGGAGTATAAGCATCGCAAATTCAATTTCATTTCATAAAAAAAAATGCTTGCTTATCTAGAGTTCATCTCAAAACAATAAATCAAATAATTTAAATCAATAAAAAATTTGACTCATCAATGAGAAAAGTTGAGAATTAAAGGCAAGTTAAAATTCTTTATTCTCGCCGCGAATATGCCAGACATTCCTTTACATGATGCTGTCTAGGCAGCGGCTTGGCTCTGCCCCTGGCATTGCTGAAGTCCATGGGCGACGGTAACCACTCACCATCAGGTGGGCCGTATGCTCGTCTGCTTACAAAGGCAATCAAAAAAAAAAATAATAAGACATGTTTGAAGAAATTATAATAAATAATCAGAATAATTAATAAACTGAAGATATAAAATTAGTTAGTTCCACAAGCGAGCTTCAGTGACCTTCTCCGCCGAAGAATGAAGCTGCAAGTATCATTTGAACACCATAATACAATTTGATAATATTTTATTGCGATTTAAATTAAATGAAATAGGTAAATATACTGGTATAGCTTGCAGCTACACCGTCGATCTACCGAGAAAAGATAGCCGCTCGGTAGAAGATCCTTTCTTTATCGTTTCCCTCGAAAACTTAGCTGCTTGATTTTAAATTTGTACCTGTGTGTTCGACCCAGGATTAGACAGAGATTTTGAACCAAAATATTTACGTTGTCAGTTTTTTTTTTCCATTTAAGTTAAAGATTCACTTTATTTTTCACTTTACCGATCTTGTTTTGTGAACCTTTACACTTACAGCCTATTGAGATTTCTTCAAATCTATTTTTTTTAAATAAATTTAAGTAAATAATGATTCGATTATCGTTTCCCAGAATCACATCAACTGTTCTGCGTGACATTTTTAAATACTAATTATTGATGAAAAAAAAATATTTATGAGTTTTTTTAACAGCCATTAATCTAAAATAAAAATAGAGATTTATTATATACAATTTAATATTTAACACGTGTAAGGGTTTTGAGTGCACCACATAGACCATATAGGTGCTGCTTTTAGACCCCGCGCAACCAACCGAGAGCGATGCAAATCTAACCTCGCATGTACCGGACGGGTCGCGCCTTCGGCACAGTCTGTCCATAGTCTTTCTGCTAAAGCAGCCGCCCTAGGCCACACCGTGGCATCGAGACCATCATCACTTAAAGTCGAGGACCAAACTGTTGCCTCCCCTCCTTCTATATTAGCGACATCTTTCGCCCATGGCCGGTGTTCATACACATGTTGCCATGAATTGTAAGGGATACCACCATTAGTGTCATACCAAGCTCCCATTCCATTATTCAGGTCCCATGCGTCTTCGTGTGAAATGACTGTTCGTATTCCATTAATAGACTTATGTTTCCATGTGAATTCTCGTAACTGCAAACCTATAAAGTCCGCGGACTCTTTCAAATCAGTCTTGATACGGTCGCTTATGGAAGAAAACCAAAATAATGTTAGATTGGGTAATCGGCCATTGACATAGCGTAGCCGATCTAACGAAGACCGGGTAAATTCTATCAAATAGTTTTCACTGTTAGTATCATTGAAATAATGTTCCCAACATTCTAGTGACACATCGTCGCCTCCCATGTGAAACAAATCATCGACTCCAGTGAGCTGGATGATTTCTGTAAAAACTTGCTCTAAAAGTAAAAACAAATCAGTGTTTCGTGGATTTAATTGCCCACAAGGAGGCTCATGACATAATGGACTCCAAGGTTGAGCGTTGGTACATAAAGANCTGTTAGTATCATTGAAATAATGTTCCCAACATTCTAGTGACACATCGTCGCCTCCCATGTGAAACAAATCATCGACTCCAGTGAGCTGGATGATTTCTGTAAAAACTTGCTCTAAAAGTAAAAACAAATCAGTGTTTCGTGGATTTAATTGCCCACAAGGAGGCTCATGACATAATGGACTCCAAGGTTGAGCGTTGGTACATAAAGAAAGATCATCAGTTTCCGAATCTGAACTGAAACTCCAGGTTTGACCAACATGAGATGGTACATCTATTTCTATCAGAACTCGTATCCCACGTAATCTCGCACGATGCACTAATGCTCTGACGTCATCTTTTGTGTAAACATCTCTCAGACTGTAGGCTCCTCGTTTTGATAAATGTTTTACACTGTCTAATTGTAAAGGGAATGCTTGGGTATCGGTTACATGCCAGTGAAAGGTGTTAAGCTTAGAAATGGCCATACCATCAATAGTTCGCATGAGATCACGAACCGGAAAATAATTACGCGCTGTGTCTAATAACAGCCCCCGGTATTTGAATCGAGGCGAGTCGTCAACTGATGCAGCTTCTAGCATAAACAGTGATGCGACGTAAGGATCAAACCATATTAATTGTATTAAAGTTTCTAAGCCATGACGTGCACCACAGAACGTAGATGCAGATATATCTACGAGCATCAAACCGTCATCGGAATTAGGGCGAATTACAAGTTTGTAGTTTTCTTCAGTATCTATACGCATTCGTGGATCTTCACTACCATTTATGGCAATCCGGACGAGTACACTTCGCCGCTCTTCGAAACCAAATGCTGACTGTTCGAGTCTTTTAACATCTTCCCGAAATAATTCAAAGGACTCTTGTAGATATTCTTGAACCGTACGGGATGGAGTTAATAATATTTTCAATCTGAAAGAGTCAGCGTGTACTGGCACAGCGGTTGTGGAAAGGCTGATCGCTCCCCTTGGTTGAGGCCAAATTTGACCTCCTGCACACAACATGTTACATGTTTCCAGAGATTGTAATTTATTCGTGGGATCGGGACGAGATGGTACACATTTTTCATTAATACATTCCCAAGTCCATAAAGGATTTTTGCTCCTGCTTAAACATACATTATTTTTTAATATGTAGCCAAGTTTCTTTTAATATTAATGAAATAACTATTGGATTTAAATATTTTAAACTAACCTGAAACTACAATTGGAAAATGTGACAAGAATTTGCAATCCAAGTACTAGATAGTATCTCGATACAAGTATCATTCCACAAAATATTCCTTCCTGGAAACATTATTTAATATTTAACATAATTTAATAAACATTGTGGTATAAATTGTATTGTTGTGCAGTGCCAATATAAAGAATAGCAACATCAAATTCCAAAAGTCAAACAACGTGCAACCTTGTAAATCAAAATTTTTTTTTTTCTGTAAATTTTAAAGATAAATATTATTTAATTTATATTATTTTCCGTTATTTAATTCATTCAATTTAATTCCATATAAATTAAATAAATTCAAATTATTTTATTTCATTTTCATACAATAGCCATAAGTTTAGCCTTTTTTTAAAGCAAATTGCCCGTGTAGACAATAATCTCTTTGGTCTGCTAATTCATAAAATCAAATCAAGTCTATGTCTAAGACAGCGACTGAGTTTTGCCATATGCACTGTAATTACAGAAGATTCACTATAATTTTTTTGATTTTACTTTCTACTACGTTTTTAAAAATGCAATGTATGAAAAACAAGTTGAGTAAATAAAAATATCTGTTCATCAAAGTGAGATACAACCCTCTACTTCTAAAACAAAATAAATTACAAACAACAATTCCAGGATTAGTTGTTACGGTATGAATATTTTAGAATGGTTGCGACGTGATTCACGATATCCCTATCGTGCCTATTGTGCAATACATCGATGAATGCCGACATGAGGGCATTGAAAAGCCTAAGTTCATCAATAATCCAAGAACTAAGATATTTTTAAAACTTCTACGGCAAGCGTATTTTAAATGTCGTCAACGTCTTTAGTATCAATGCCTTAAACCGCGAAAATAAAGCTAGCAAGTTGTATTACTAGGAAAACGAGATATGGAGGATGCGCTATAACCACGAGTTGTGTGATATTTACAAGGATCCTAATATCATAACAACTATAAAAATTGAACGCCTACGATGGGCAGGACATGTGGTTCGAATGAAGAATACCAGAATGCCAAGACAACTGCTCTATGGCAAATCAGAGGGCCGCAGAAGTCGTGGCATACCCAAACTCCGATGGTTGGATGGCGTGGAGTGCGACCTCAAAGTTATCGGTGTCAGGAACTGGAAGGAGAAAGCCCTGAACAGAGCAGTCTGCAGAGACATACTGGACCAGGCTAAGTCCCACCCTGGGCTGTAAGACCTAAGATGATGAGGTTGTATTACTGAGCATAGAATATCTCAAAACTATAGATCTTCTAGTTGACTTTTTGCCAAAAATGTTTCCAGATTCCGAGATAGCAAAGAAAATCAAAACAAAATTCTGCGCCGTAAAAAATAATATTTTGGGCCCACATCATCGGGGCATTGACCCGCAGACACAAGGCACTGAGTTTCTCGCCGAATCATCTCAGTGGATCTCGATTCCGATCCAGTAGATACAACGAAGTACTGAACTGATCCCCGATAGTTGCATTGGTTTTAGCAAACGTCCGAAATCTCGAGGATGAGGATTTTATGAACTTAGCAAACTTCATGTTCAGCATCTCAAGACTATGAAATTCAAACGTAGAACATGACGAAAGGTTAGCGCAAGAAATGGCATCAAAAGAAAGAAAATGAATCGGTTGCTTAAATAAACAATCAAGTGAAATTTTTAACACGCCCTTACCGGTTGCTTAAATTTTAAACCAAGCTATAAGGCTTTCATAGTTAAAATTAATAAAAATGAAACTGCTTTATGTTAGACAGAGAATGATTTATTTTATTTTTAATTAATACATGTGATTTTCAGAACATAAAGGTATATTTATTTACCTGTAAAAGTGCAGTATTTAACTAGAATATACCGTATATTTTATTTAAATAATAAAACGCTGTAAAATATAAATCTTGTCTGGCAGCACTGCAGTGAATACCGAAAACTAGGGGACTTTTTGGCGGGAACGCGAGGAGTGAAGTTGTGTGATTTGTTTTATTGTCTATTTAGTGTTTCTTCGGGTTTAAATGTGTAATAATGGTGGTTTATTAACTGTTTAATATCTGTGAAAGTGCACAAATGTGGGAAAATGAAACAAAGCCTCTGGACGTAACTTCTCGGGATCCTCCAAAAAGTCCACTGAAAAAATCTCAGTAAATGACCACCATTTTACTAAGATTATGTTTCATCCCATATCATGTCATTTCATCCCAATAGATTAATATCTCAAATTAATCATCTTCATTTCATATCACTCCATATTATCATTTTTCATAAAAATAAGAATATAAATTAAAAATAAGACATGACTTAAAGGTCTCAGTAACCAGGTCATAAAACCATTTAAAAAAAAAGGTACTGAAAACTATACTCTATACCAAAGTTTGCTATCTATGACTATGTTAAATACAAAAAGACAAAAGTGCTAAAAATTTTGCAATTAGCCGACTAGTATTTGTGTATGAGTTTCATTATAATACCTTAATGATAAATGACATTCTGGTGCTAAATCAATCACATCAAGATGATGTCGACAACAGAAGTGGAAATAGACTTTGATCCAACAAGCGAGCGCGAAGAGGGGGAGGTGAGCTTTTGTAATAATTCCTTCAAATTTTCGTGTATTTTTCTGCGTTGTAAAATATACAATATTTTCAAGAACCCCAAAGTAATCTACGAATATTGTTTTGGAACATTAAACAGATCATGTTTTGGTATACCCAGTATTTGATAATTGTTTCGCTTTTGAAAACATTCAACGTTTCTTATAAACAAAAGATGTTGGCCAAAAGTAATATTTTTGACCTATCGTTTTTAAGAAAAATGTGTTAGGAACACTTAGTATTACATTCTTGGTTGTGAAACCACTCTAAAAAGATACAGCTAAAACACGTCATGTCAAAAATAGTCTTTTGAGAATGGTAAAAAAGGTCAATTTTTTTTAAAAACAAACCTTTTTTATTTTTAATATCGTACAAATATCGCAATTCTTACCTTCATAAAATAAGCTAACAATAACTTAAGTTGCTCTAAAAACCCAGCACTTAACTTGAACCTGTTTGCTGTATCTGCCCAGAAACATTAAGATGTAGTAATGTAAATGAACTTACGACCCACCTGGTGTTAAGTGACCAAAACAAAAAAAAAGGGGAAGAAAATACTCAAAGTACCATCTGGCTTGGAATAAGCTTCCCCACCACGGTGTTTCCCAAGTGCTAGACATGTTCTTCTTCAGAGGAGGCTCGCGGAAAGTGCTCAACGGTGGGCAGCTTGGCTCTATCCCTGGCATTGGTAACGCCCATGAGTGACTGTGGACCGCATGCCTGAAAAGCCTGAAAAGGCAAAAAATTTTTTTTTGCTGTACTATGTTATTTTCATCTTCATAATTTTACTACAGAAACTTTATGTGGAAAAAGATCAATCAACATTTGTTGTTGTTTTATGAATGTCAAGTACACAATTTGAAGAATAAACCAATATAATTCTTTTCAATTATTTTTTCTATATATTGTCGTCATTTTGTTGTACCTAAGTACAAAAAGTTCTGTTCTTTGTATTGTATTGTATAATTCTCATATTTAAGTTTATTTCTAGTACAAATCACAGGAAGGCGTTATTGTACCATTTACCAATATATGGTATTGGCCAGAGCATATTGCTCACAGAACAAATTGCCTCTGTAATCAAAAAGTATATGAGGTAATCAACAGCAATCCAAGTTGGACTGACAACCTATTTTATGTCATTGATATAAGCTGGATGCGGGCAGCATAGTACTGGTCATTGAACTTCAGAGAGGAGATTAACCATCAGGAGATGTATGTGTATAGGATGTGAATGATGATGATGATGATGATTATAAAATATTTAGCCAACAACAGTTTTGTGAATATGCTATGCTGAAAAATTTCCTTCTCTAAATATATACAGCAGCAACCTCTTCTAAAGATTGCTAGAAAATTTTGGCTTTCAGAAACATTGTTAAAATCAAATATTTGTAATGGTATAAAATTTAACATTTTAGTTGGAAGATTCAGATGTAGAAGAAGGTACCTATATCCCCTTAACAAGACCAGAAGCTTTCAACCCTCCATCCTTAGTACACATGCAAATTCAAGATGAACAAAGCGATGATCCATCACCAGAGTCATCAGCTACAGATTCTGATGAAGAACCCAGGAGGCGTGCTAAACGCACAAAAGTCAGACCAAGAAGGCCGCAACCTCAACCCCAAAATAATAAAAGGGAGAAATATAATGTGTGGTATAGAGCTTTGCAGGTCTGTAGCTTAGACCACTCTAGCAATATTTATTATAAATACATTAAATAAATTAAGTAAATTTGTGATTAGTAGTGTTAAGCCACAGCCAACAATAATTTATAAAAATCCAGAATAAGACATACATTTCATTATTATTTTTTAAATAATGTACCAATAAGGACTTTAGGAACAGAGAATGCATGGAATTGAGTAATGGTTTAAAATTTTATACTTTTGACAGTTTATTTAAAAAAAAAATCACATTATTTCTTTATCCTTCAATCATTATCCAACTTACATAAAAATTAGTGATGGAAAATATACCCATCATAATCTTTTAAGAACCATTTAACCCCTAGACCTCTGTGAAGAACCTCAACAAACCCATTGGAATTGCTAAACTGTATTATGTTAAATAATCCTTTCCATCTTAATATTCTCAGTAAAACATTCATCAACTATGATATTGCTTTACTATGTTATCTGTACTATAGGTGTCATTTCATTATAAAGAGATATCAATTACTATTACCAATTTAAGGTATTCTTATTTTTTTATGGATTGAATTGATTCAGGTAGGCAAAGCTGCTTATTTCTGCCGAGCAACTATCTTGTAGCTAAGAAATAGAATTGGGACGGCGACTTTTATTTCAAAGGCAGAGTAGAGTAGTATGACCAACCATTCATTACCAAGTGGTCTGTGGCCTTATTAAAATAACCTTATAATGTTTTGATTTACTCAGGAAATACATATCGAGGAGTGAAAGGCCATTTGGTTCAGGTGACATTTTTGTAACTTTACAGGAAAGACATTTAAAGTTTAAAATTTGGAAAAAAATATAACAAAAAACTTCTTCAAATATTTGAATCGAGTACACTTAATTGAAGTTCAATTAAAAACATCGAACTGTTGATGCTAATACAAAATAAAACGCACTTTTCATTTCAAAGGTAAATGTCGGATTTCACTACAGCAAATTGTCGCTTGAACCAAATAGCTGTTCACCCCTCAATACCCTTCAATATTGCAGGTACTTAATGTCTAATTACAGTAGAGCCTTGTGATGAATTCCAAGAGCTATTTTGGGTTAAATTTCAGTGTTAATCTTTGAGCAATGAGCTTCGTTCATTTATTCTCTTAATCTACTTGTATTTCTTTTGAAGAAGTACTTATAGAATCAAGCTATCCAAAAAATTATGTAAATTCTTTCAAGAAATAAGAGTTTTTGTTTGTGATTTACAGGAAGAACTACTCTCGGAAGACATGATTGGTTTTGATGTCTCAAAGAAACGAAGATATGGTGTTGAATCTTATGATTACACAATAAAGTATCGATTAGAAGAAGAGTTAGCATCAGGAAATGCTTTTACAAAAAATAGCAACTCCAATAGAGACGTGACATCTAACAAACGAAAGCACTCTGACAGATCTAATGTAAAGCTAAGATTGGGTAAAAGAATTAATAGTAATTCGCATATTGAAGAGAAACATGCTCCGAAATACTTGAAGGATTTGGTGGTTAATGCAGAAGATCCGTTAGATATAGTAGCATCTGATATAGCTGATAAATTATCAGAAGAAAAGAAAGAATTAATACGTAAGCAATCATTTATACTTAAAATATCCATTCATTTTTGGCTCTTGCAATATGAATAACAAGTGGTTTTCAAATAAGCGGCACACAATTGTGCTTTAATATTAATATTCAGTCATATCATGAGTTAATGAATCATATGGTCAATATTTATGATATTTAATATCCTTCAATCACTTAAGTACTCTCCCTTTTAGTTAAATTACTCCATCAAAATAGTCAGTAAGCAGTTTCTTCTAATCAATGTTTTTTTCTTCAGTTCTATTCCTATTATTAATTGGTATTGACTTACTATCACAAACATCAAAGCTTTATGAAACTACAATAGTAAGATTTCTGAAATTTTAACAGAGTTCTACATTTAGTATTTTTCTTTTTCTTTTACAGACAGAATCGTAGGAGCAATTGGATCACAGAAAGCAATGGAATTGTTTAAAGAAACACAGAAAATAGAGGCTGATGGTGGCATGCTTGTAATGGTAAACACAAACTTTTTACTGAATATTTATTTCAAATGACAACCGCATCATTTGTTTTGATATTACATATTTGGATGTTTATCTAAATCCAGAAATATATAGTTATTTAACAAGAAACAATAAATTATACAATCTGCAGCAAGATAATCGTTAAATTTTGACAGAACAAAAGCCTTCGTTGTACAGTCCTAAATATGTTTAAAATAAGAATATGATTGTTATAAATACCACTGGAAATATAAATTAGTGAAAGATGAAAGAGCAGTTTGTGCTTGAATACAAATCCTTAAATGAGGATTACTTTTAATAGGAAAACGAATATATAACTTTAATAGAAAATATGGTTGGCGCTTAACTAAGAGTCTAGGAATATTGTTTATAGAATAATAGAGAGTAGTTGGCACACTATTCAAACGTCGATGAATATGAAAGTAAAATGAAATTTTTCAATTTACAGAATGGAACACGTCGTAGGACCCCAGGCGGTGTGTATTTTTTTCTTCTGAAGCGTGATGACGAAATCTCCCAGGACGTAGTCAGTAAACTTTTCGCTGAAGAAAAAAAGGAGAATACGCGCCGTATAAAGAAAATTCACAATAAAAGTCGTCAGAAAGCTATGGAGCAACTAAAACAAACTTTAACCGGTAAATAATAATGTATACTACGAAACAGTACAGTAGTCTAGTTTTTAAATATTATTCATAATCATAACATATAACTTATGATATGCAATTAATATTAGGAATGCATAAGAAATAGATGTATTTTTCAATAATTTTTGATCGCTTCATTGCCATCTAGCAGTGTCCTTTAAAATTGTCAATTCATATAATTTGTTACTAAAACAAAAAAATATACTGTTTTCTTGACGCATTAATCTTAATGTCACAGAAATTTCTTTAGTTAAGTTTTGTTCATTGTCATTGTAAGAGAAATTAATGATTAAATTAATACTGTTAATAGGTCCTTTCCACCATTTAAGCAAAAATAATTACATAAGATAAATACTCGAACAACATTTAAGCACTATATTTAAAAAAAAACTGCACAAACCAAGGTTTCACTTGGCTACATAATCAGAAACTGATTTCAGACTCGGAGCTACCGTCGTTAGTATCTCGCGGCGAGACAACGGCACAATCGGAGCACGGATCGAATCCACCCCCCTCCCCGGCGACGGACGCCCGTGAGTGTTCCAGTGACACGGACGCGCACTCGCACACTGAGGCGGACGCGCACGCACTAACAGAGGAGCACTCGCACGCGCGAACACAGGCGGACGCGCCTGCGCCGTCAGCACCTGCCGCCCCGTCCGTCAGCAACGACCCCCGCTCCATACAAGAATACGAAGACGACGACTTCCTTGATGTCATGTGTAATGATGACATGGACCTGTTCTAAACACAAGTCTGATACTGCAGCTCCTTTTTTTTTTAATGAGATCCGTTAATCGTGTGTAATTATCTTGTCATGGGACAAGATAAACTCGAATGATTGTTGTTAATTTATCGTTTTAAGGTGCGTCATGTTCGCGCTCGCAATTTGTCAGTTTTGCATATACCTTCCTTCAATTACATAAAATTGGTCCGAATATGTAAATATGTATTTGAAAATAAATTAAAAATAATCTAATGAAAGACTGAGTAGATGTTTCGGTAGTAAATAAGTTTCTCTATTTTTAATTTATATAAGTCTTAATAAAGTAATCAAGACATAACGGACGGCAGTGGCTCTGCTTTTGGCCTTGTCGATGTTCACCGATACCAAGAAGAATAAAAGTATGTGGTCTATTACTTTATCTTCGAAGTCCATAAAAAAAGTCAAGTAACTGTTATAATTATAAATATCACTACAAACTAATTTTGCGAGTGGGAACATTATGTATATCATTTAATTACCATTAGTTTATTCTAATACAGAGTAAAAAACCTCTGACCATAAGTTACTGAAGACTTCAATTTTAGTGTTTGAAGACTTGTAATTAATTACTGTAAGCATAGGGTGGGTGTTACTGCTCGTTACAGTAAAAAGCACTGTGCTAAGAACATGGCTTAAAGATTTTTTCATAAACCATATATAAAAAAATGTGTAAGGCACCCATACATTCATTGTTTTGTTCATGCAAGTTGGTTAATTATTGTACAAAAACCTCTGCAATTTTAATGTGTAGGTATAATAAATCTAATCTTATATGCTCGAAAGAAAACTATAGTATAGTCTACCCCTTATAGTGTTAGATCAGCCTAAAGAATCTATATTTTTATACCTCAAAATATTATATCAAAATTAAGTCACTTTTTAGAATGCCACTGAAGCTAACTTATCTGTGTGCAATAGTTTCATCTTTCTATGTACACTGTATGTTAAGTGCCTTCACATGTAATCAGTGTTACAAAGAGTATAAAACTCTTATGTTAGAACTAATAATTGAAAACGCATGTTTAATTTTGTTTAGTTCCATTAAATAGTTTTATATAAATAATGAGTTTCTATTTAATTTTAATATTCTTGCTGGTTTATGGTGTTGGTCCTATATTAAATATAACTTTTGCCCGGGACAACATCCACGTGGAATAGTTACTTTGGCGTAACGCTAAATCGTAGAAAGTGAAAATATTTTGAAACATTCTTCATTAGTGCTCCACTTGTATCAGTCTCATGATGTTATATAGCCTATAGCCTTCCTCAATAAATGGGCTATCTAACACTGAAAGAATTTTTCATATCGGACCAGTAGTTCCTGAGATTAGCACGTTCAAACAAACAAACTCTGTAGTTTTATAATATTAGTATAGATAGTATAGATTAAGTATATTATCTATGGTCCTATACTATCCTGAATTATGCTTTCCTTGAAAAATCTTGGGCTTTTGGAATTAATGTAAATTTTGAATTCCAATATAAAGCAACTGAAAAATATGGTTCTTCATTTTATTGAGCATTTTGGAACTCTGGCCAAGTTAGCATTATAAAAATCTAAAATGCCTTTCTTAAAATTCTTTTTGTGTACAATAAAAAATAATGTTTTTGGTTTTCATATTATTTTATATGAACAATAAAATAATGACTAATTGACACTGATGATATATTTTAAAATGGTACACAGTTTGGTCTAAATACAAACAAATGTGTGACTATTTCATTAGTTGTATTTTTATTACATCGTTTTGCAACCACGATCACTCTGACAGGAGTGTCGAACTAAGAATTATTATTATTATAATTGCTTATTGACGTATAAGCAGATGATACGACGATATAGGCATACGGCCCATCCGATGGTGAATGGTTACCGTCGCTCATGGACGTCAGCAATGCCGGAAGCAGAGCCAAGCTGTTGCCTACTGTTAAGTACTCTACACAAACCTCATTTGAAGAAGGACATGTCATAGTTCTCGGAAAAGACTGGAGGGGAGCTCATTCCAAAGCTGGATGATATGCGGCAAAAAAGATCTGGACACGCACTGTAGATGGACATAGTGGCTCCAGGTAGTATGGATGAACTCTACTCCTATGGCGGGCGATGCGATGGTAAAAACGAGACAATGTTATCATCTCAAACAATTCCTCCTATTATCCATACTATAAAATAGTTACCAATAATACTCATTCCATTTGTAGCATCTTTATTAATTTAAGGGAAGTCCAGCATCTGCAATTATGGGTTAATAATTTTAATATGTAACATTAGACTACAAGAGGAAGCGGAAATAATAAAATTTACAACAAAGAAAAAATACTAAAGTGAGCATTAACACTTGTTTAAAAACCTGACATTTTAGCAAACCTAAGGTTTGGTGGCAGTAGCTCCTGCATCACAATGTTTTTAATTTGAGTTGGTTGATATACAGGAAAAACAATTATTATCATTTGATTGAATGTGTTGTATTGTAGTATTGCTAGAAACCATTGTCTGTTTTCCAGATTTTTTCCAATATACCAAGTTTGTGTACAACTAAAGACATAAATAAATATAGCAAGTATGCTGAATAATCTCTTCATATTAAAAAAAAGCAACTTTAAAATGTTGTGGGAGAAAACAATATATTACATTCTATTTCCTACTCGGGACATTGGTTGAGCCATCTGTACAGAGAAAAGAGGAGAAAAATTTTGGTCTATAATTACCAGCTGGGGTAAACATTTCTCAATATGTTCTACATCAACTTTGTTAGAACCCTCTCTCTGTGCTTGTTTGACTGCACGCAGGCATGTCTCGGTGACCAGACATTTGGCCACATCTGCCAACAACATAAGAGCATGTGGGGCAATCTTGGTTTTACTTTCTTGGAAGTGGTTTTCTAATAGTTCCTTTATTACATCCTGCAAATTTTCAAAGCTTCATTTTCAGTTGAACTTACTGCAGTTTGTTATCAACAACTTTATTTGGAATTCAGTGAATTAAACATTTCATGTGATTTAAATATTTTTAGAAAGTAAAAAATGTGTTAAATGCTCAAAATCTGATTCTCACCTTTTTAATTGTACTTTTCACATTAGACAATAAAGTAGCCGGATCAATATTATTATTGTCCTTAATATTGCGGGCCATTGCTGTTGTTCAATTTCGGAATATTTTAAAGCAAAATACAGTTCGTATAAAATTACAAAATAGTATTAGTGTAACAATTATTGTATCAGGGTATAGTAGATCTAATAAATAAAGAACAAAATTATGTAAATATTGAATTCGTTCACTTTTCTATTCGTTGACAACGACGACCTTGCCTTTACCTTTGGCTGCAATAAACTGATAAACCATAGATTATACACTTGATGATAAACTGATAAATATTAATATCTAAATATTAATATCTATGTAATGATAACTATATACCGTAAAACGGGGTGATTAGGGATTGAGAGGTGAATGGGGAAAAAACCAAGAAAATCTTTCGACGCTCAATATAGTTTTATATTCGTTGCAAAATCTTCCATTTTTTGTAGTATAAATTATAGTAGAATGTTGAAAGTTCACAAAGCAACTGAATATGCATGGTAAAATGGTTATTTACTGAGACTTTTTCGATGATCCCAAGAAGCTGCGTCCATCGGCTTTATTTCATTTTCCCACATAGTTATACTTATCAGTTATTAAATCTCGTTTATTATACGTTTAAGCCGAAAAAAAAACACAAAATTAACAAAGTAAAATAACTCACACAACTTCGCTTAATTAAATTGCGTCTGGGCTCTCAAATTAACTCAGTTTACAAGAGGATCATCCGTATTGTCGAAAATCTTCGGTTTCAGGAATGGATAACGTGACTATACGTCCCGCTTTCAGGCTGTACGTCCCGATGTCCCCAACGAGAACAAAAATCTCCCGCTTTCATTAATTGTTACTTATCCAATCCTTATTGTATTAGAAAATACATACTAAGGTAACTCTAATTTTGCTGTAGAAAAGTAGTTTTTTGTCGCGAAATTATTTATAAATATTATTTTAAGGGCAAGTTGGTGTAAGAATTAAGATGTCAGTGAGGGTAAGAATACCATAATAAATTTTTTCAAGTAATTTTTAAACCATATTTTTTATTTTGCACTTAAATATTACTACTTACCCCGACGTATAATATCCGGCAAACTTCTTGAGCATTTGTTGACGTAGTGGGGGTAAGTTTGCGCATGGTACACTCACGTGCAAAAACATTATTTACTCTGCGTCATAATGCAATTAAATTATTAAAATCAACATATGTATTTTTTTATATATTTATTAGAACATCAACAAAAAATGTAGGTTAATAATTGTGATAATTTAATCTTGGGGTAAAATAGATATTCCTTCTATTAAGTCAAAACTAGAGCTGTTGCCAGGTCTTAGTTCAGTTGAAGCGAAGCTGGTATTTGTATATTTTTTTTCGTTATCATAATCTTGACTATCATCATCATCACTGTTTTCATCACCCGAGTCGCTATCATCGTGATGAGTCGAAATAGGGCTCATCGGTGTAGTTTACAACTCGGTCGATTCGGTCTTCTTTTTTGTCTATAATTAATTATTTTTTGAAGACTTATTTTTGATACTTTTTTTGATTTGTATTTTTTGATACTTTTTTCAATTACCAGCTTCCGATTATTTTCTGTTCTTTTTTTCCATCTAAAGCCTAGCTCTTTCATAATACGTCGTAAGCTTCATTCCGAGCCATTAAAATTTATATCTTCTTTAAAATTTTCGAAGCCTTTCTACGGTACGGAGTTTCACTGCTTGTTATGTAGTTATTATGATTACATCTTTTTATTACAGATTGAACGAAACTATCCATTCCAGTAACTTTCTTCTTCCCTGATCTTTTCTTACCCGGAGTCCTAAACACGGCTAGCAAGCCAGAGCCTTTAGCTTCCTTAATAATGCACCTAACAGTCCTCACTGATGGTTTTGTTACTTCCGAAGTCTGTTTTAATTTTTCCATATCATTCTTCCCCTGTTTTATAATGAAGCAATATACGTCGTACACAATTTTTCTACCCTTTCTTTTGAATACTACACCGGTTTGTCGCGGCATAGTGTATGTTTTATAAAAAATCAACAAACACTCAACAAATAGCAATGGCAACAAAGTCCACAAGTAATTATAACAAATAACTTAACGATTAATAACGATAGACTTTAATAATATAATAACTTTCCACTGTACGCAAGCATACTTTTGGGAGCAAGCGGAATGAGGGCGCGGTGCGGGACGCAAGGTTCGACTGATCTACCAATAAAGCGCTCGATACGATTTCCCCTGCCGTCGCGCTTCACCCTCACCACCAAAGTGATCTAAAATTCGGTTCTGCGCAGTCAAGGTCATTTGCTCAAGATGTTTGCCGGTTACTATACCCTATATATGTATTTGTTTATATACGAAATTCCGTAGGCGTCCCACTTTGACAGGAAAAAAAAGGTCACATTGGGGATGGACCAAATTCTCGACTTCTGCGAGTCCACCATCTCGCAGAAGGAGGCGGCGGAGCAAGAGAGGGAGAGCTCTTCCCTTTCCGCACCGATCCGTCGCCGTCGAGCCGGGGGCCGGAGGCGGGAATACGCCCGTACGTCCCGGCCCCTGTAGGTAGCGGCCACCCCCGGTGAAGGTCAAGGGGCGACCTGAAGGGGTGTGGCCGCGCGGCGCGCTACCAGCACTCTAGCGCGATGCCGTGAAGTAAATAGAACGACCGGTCGACGGTGTATCGCGTCCCGACCCGGCAGGCTGGTTCTGGTCCAGCGGGGTATTCCGGGACACCAGCGGCACCGTCTGGGCGGCCTGACGGGCTGCCGTACCGAGACGGCCGACGTTTCAGAGCCTTCGATTCGCCTCGAAGGCTCCGTCGGCTGGGCGTCCTTGGGGTGAGCCGCGCCGTCTGGTTGTAGTGTTGACCGCGATAACCCCCCTACCTCATCCGGGTTCTGACCTTGGAGGGGATCGGACGTCGGGTGTATGAGTGCAGGGGAGTCGTTTAGTGGGTGGGCCCTAAAATCCTTGGGCCCGCGGTCTGCTCACAACACCATGCAGATCGTTGAGTCTCACATACCCCGCGCGCCCCGTTTTGCGCGGGGACCTCGTAGGAGATTCGGCCCTCTACCCGAAAAAAAAAAAGAAAAAGGGATGGACCAAATTAGTCCGACAAGTTTATCTCAACTTACCGATTGATAGTTTTAAGTTTTCATTTTAACATGAATCAAGAAGCTCGATCAAAAATGGCCACGCCTACGTTGATTAACAATGCACAAACGGTAAAACTTCAGTATGAATGAAGTTCAATTTACATGATAATAATATATCTTTGTCTATGATGTTATTGTTTTGTAATACTGGCCATTTGAAACGTAATTTCTGTATGACTGATAATAAACTAATTTCAAATGAACTTTATTTAAAGAAAAATGAAATTCTATTTTCAATTTGATTGATTGGCTTGTAGATTATTGTTGTTAACATTACTTTTCTATCGTTTTCATTAATATGGATAAGATAAAAAACGAGTGATTAAGAAATACGAGTTCCGTCCCGGTAGGAATGCCGCACAACCACTTAACACCAGGTGGGCTGTGAGCTTGTCCACCCATCTAAGCAATAAAAAAATAAAATAATAAAAATCAAGAACTTTAAAAACTCGCACTAAGCACACCGAACGTTATGATGAAGCCCCTGAATCTCTGGGCCGGCTTGGTTGATTGCTCGTCACCGCAGCGCCTACACCACAACACTAGACTTCGGACGGAACAACAGACTGTCTCTAAGCTACAAGGGCTAGAGTTGGAAGTTTTGGGTCGCCCAATGTACTCACCAAACCTTACGCCGACAGACTTCTACTTTTTCCAAAGTTTCGATAATTTCTTGGCAGGGAAAAATGTCAATACCCTATAGAGGCAGTACAAAATGCCTTTGAAGAGTTTTTTAAGAGCATTAAAAAATTATCATTGCATTGCCAGTGACTCATCAATACCCTAGATGGTCAGGGATGAGTAACACGCGGCCCACGAAATATTTCTAAAATTGAATTTATTTTATCGACTTTCCCCCATCAATTCGTTTTTCTTTTCTTGTTTGGTTTTTAATAAAGAAATAAAGTTTCGTAAATTATTAATAAGAGTTAATTTATGCGCGGCCCGCCAAAAACTTTTTTTTTTTGTTTAGATGTGTGGACGAGCTCACAGCCCCCTTGGTGTTAAGTGGTTACTGGAGCCCATAGACATCAACAGCGTAAATGCGCCACCCACCTTGAGATATAAGTTCTAAGGTCTCAGTATAGCTGCCCCACCCTTCAAACCGAAACACATTACTGCTTCACGGCAGAAATAGGCAAGGTGGTGTTATCTACTTGAATATTAAAATTGGCCCATTGATTAAAAAGGTTGCCCACCCCTGCCCTAGATGCATATTTTGATTGATAAACCAATTACTTTAACTTTATGTATGTATAATACAATACGGAAATTTTTGGGCGAAAAAGGCTAATATTTTCATAATTAAAAGCCACATAAATCAAACCAAAAAGGTTAACAGCATTAAGTATGATTATCTAAAATAGTAAATAATAAATATAAATATTTCGTTTATTGTTATAACATCACGATTGATTTAACAGAACCATTTCTAGTAAATACAGGACTCGCGATTTTATATCTTCTAAAGTTTTGTCAGTCAAAACGTCCGCCAACGTTCTGTACACGTCTTTTTCCTCCATGATTTCTAGAATACTTTTGTCGCTCCCGTTTTGCGAAACAATAAAATGTTTTATGACCTCAAGGATTATTTTGTCTTCGTCGCGTTTCCATTCGACTTCCGTTTTGACATCCTCCTCCGCTATAAGCATGGGTTCAACGACCTCTGTTCTGTGTTCCGTCCTTAGCAGGTCGGTGTCTTCGCTTTCATCAACGACTTCCTGAGAAAGAACAAAAAAATATTGAATAAGTGCTACACAATTCATAACGATGCCAACACTCTAACTGAGACGCATTTGTTTAGCCCACTGAGTTTCTCGCCGGATCTTCTCAGCGGGTCGCGATTCCGATCCAGTGGTAGATTCTGCGGAGCACTGCTCTTGCTAGGGCCAGTGTTAGCAACAGGAAAGGTAGATGGCAAACGTCCCAGAGGACGCAGTCCCACGAGATGGTCGGACCAAATATGATCTTCTCTAAACATCAACTTCCACAATGCCCTTCATGAAGCTAAGGATCGCAGCAGATGGAGGGAAATCGTACGGGAGAAACTGATGCAGTGGGGGAGTCACGACCCTCAGTAATGAGGAAAACGACGCGAGGAGGAGTGTTAGCAAATTCTCTCAAGTTGAGCCCGGCAGCTCGCCTACCAGTACCTGCATAACCTAGTATAAAACCCCTTCAGGTTACTAGGACAGATAGACAAAAAAAGTGTTCCTAAACCTGAAAGTAGTAACTGATTACCAGAGTCCATGGACATCAACAACGTAAATGCCGTCAGACATTAATTAAGGCATGAGTACTAAGTTGTATAGTAAAACCATTACGCCAACTAACAAACGCGACACGCGTTACTGTTTCGCAATAGATACACGCAGAGTGTATTGGTATTGATCCTGACTGCCTCACAAAACATTGATTTTATTGTACGTTAGTAAGTATATTTTTTTTTTATTGCTTAGGTGGGTGGACGAGCTCACAGTCCACTTGGTGTTAAGTGGTTACTGGAGCCCATGGACATCTACAACGTAAATGCGCCACACACCTTGAGATATAAGTTCTAAGGTCTCAGTATAGTTACAACGGCTGCCCCACCCTTCAAACCGAAACGCATTACTGCTTCACGGCAAAAATAGGCAGGGTGGTGGTATCTACCCGTGCGGACTCACAAGAGGTCCTACCATCAGTAATTACGTAAATTAAAAATTTGCGGGTATTATTTATAAACACGATGTTATTTCTTCACCGTGGAAGTCAATCGTGAACATTTGTAGAGTACGTATGTAGAGTACGTATTTCATTAGAAAAATTGGTACCCGCCTGCGGGATTCGAACACCGGTGTATCGCTCAAAACCAATGCACCGGACGACATATAGATATGTAAATATACTTACGATTTTAATAATATGGTTTTCTATGTCCTGGTTTGTTGTTTGGTTGGTTGTTTCTACGATGTTCTCTTCTTCGCCATCATCACTAAAAACAACGTAATATTTTGTAAGTAGTATAAATATTGGCAAAAAAATGTCGATTGGCATTAACAGGGTTTCAAACTAGCATTAGCTTACCATATAGTTACTAATTAACAAATAGTAGACGCATAGGGATTGTTACCGTGGCTAAATGCGAATGTACAAATCTATTCAAACTTTTTAGCAGCTCAGGAAAATGGTAACCAGATAATATCTGACCAACACTAAGTCCTACTCGGGTACAGAGCCAAAAACTTTTTTACCTTGATGATGATTCTTCGCCACTATCTTCGTTTGAATCACTCTTATCATCTGATGGATCGGTGGCTGTCTGAGTATTCTTCTTATGCAATGGAACAATTTTAACTGCATTCGTATTGTCACTTACTGAACTGGCAACTGTCCCAGCAATTTGCTTTTGCGACTCATTAATAACTTTACTGGTACATCTTTCTTGATTTGATCTACCAAACAATTATATTTTTTGATATGTATTTACAATTATTCTTTCATAGATGAGTGAATGAATAAGCTGATGGAAGTATGAGGAAAGTTGAAAATTTAATCAGTGAGATAATCAGCAGCCTCTTTCGATTGGTACAATAATTTTTTTTTACATTGAGGATTCCATGCTACTGATTCCCTGACTTCGAACTAAACTTAAGATTTTTTTTAAATTTAATTTTCACTTTTAATTTAGCTAAGCCCGTCATTGAGTTCTATTTAATAGAAATAGTTACTGTAGTCTTTCAGAGGCACCGCCAAACCAGTAGTCCACCACAACACGAAGGATTGAAAACTTATTTGATGACTACAATTTTGTTTCAACTGTTTATGACTCAAGATGGGTAACGGCACTCACTTAGCGTTGTTTAAGACCAGTGGGCCAAGGGTTAATTGTAGGATTTCCGTAAAACGAATGCATTAGATCAGGCCTGGGCAACTGGCAGCCCGCGGGCCGGATCCGGCCGTGTCTTGTCTGGCCCGTGAAGCATTGTATATATTATTATTAAAAACACAAATATTAGTTTTTGTCTAATATAAATTTTCTTTTCAATTTTTTAATTCAAATTACTTGATAAATAAATATTTTGATTTAATATTTTGATTGAACAAAAACTATTCTTAAAATTAGAAAATAAATTGATTGGCCCGAGGTCAAATTTTCATCTGCAATGTGGCCCGACTATCAAAATATTTGCCCACCCCTGCTTTAGATGTTCAATAAATACTTTTTGTATTTCACCTTTGCTCGCGTTTGTGTGAGAACAGAGAGAACCAGTGTTGGGCGAGACGCGGATGTCCTTCCATGGTCTTCAGCAGCAAAGAGCACATCTCGCACGGCTTGTGTTTGAATGGACCGTACAGTATCGACTTCAGTTCCGAAAGTATGACATTTCGTTTCTCTTTAACTGTTACTTCTTCCTGAAACAAATTAAGCGATTAACAACATATTATTTTGGTCTATTTATTAACTTTGTTGTTATTGACAAAACTTTTATTAACGAATATAATCGGCTTACTAAACCGACACAGAGCGCTTATTTGTTTTCAATGTCTGTATTATATAAAAAATAGGATAATTTTTTTAAATCTTAAATCTGTAAGAAATTTATTTTGTGTTAACCCCCAGGAATGAGAATTTGTATTGTAAACAATAATTGATATATAATTATTTTATTTTAATATTCAGATTTCACCAAGACTAATAAAAACAAAAAATTGACCAACTAAAATATGTTTTATTAATTTAATTTACAGAACCGATTTACAGACCTTTGTGTGTTTGTTGAAAAATATGTTCAAAATTCCAAATTCAATGTTTCTAAAATTTTATTCGCTGTACGAGAAACACACTGTCATCCGGAATGAGTTTGCATGTGTTTAATATTACTTAGATTTAAATTAGAAAGCAAAGGGAAAAAAGGTAGACCGCAAAAAAGATGGGATGACGACATAAGACAAGTGGCAGGCGTCACATGAAACAGAGTGGCTCAAGGAAGACATGAATGGAAAAGGTTGGAGGAGGTCTTTGTCGATTGGCAAACAGATCTGCAGAAAATAAGAATATTTCCAATAAGAGACTAGATTAAGGATTACATTAAATTTAAGTATTCTATATATTATATTTAGTCATATAATTGTAATATGGATCTAAATAAAAGGCTATTCAATTCAGTTCAATTCAATTCAATCTTATTTAGATAAAACTTTGTACAGTCATATCTACAGTAGGCGCGCGAGTTCATGTCCATCCTGAGGAATGTGGTAGTGCTGTGACCTAGTTAATTTTGGATTATGTCGATAATAACTACCGATTTAGTTAACAGCTGTCAATGAAGTAAAATAAATGTGATAAGTAATTACTTGTTTATTTCTAACAGAGAAAAATATTTTTTAAATTCCAATTCAATCACTATAAAATGAAAAGACAATCGACAGATCAGAGTCGGAATCAGTATGTATCTATTTGCAGTAGGTTTTTTTCTATCTGAACTTGTTGGAAGCGGAGTAGTCATGGTTAAATAACACAATAGTGTTAGCGTAAATTTTCGATATCGATAATCGCGCGTCCCAACCGTCGAAGGACAACACTCGACGTCAGTAAAATGCGGGGAGGCGGGCGGAGGCGAGGCGAGCTGTCCCCCGCGCGTCGCCTCTGGCCCCGATGGACATGAACTCGCGTGCATACAGTATGTCAGAACTTCAAATGTCACAACTCACATCGATTATCCTGAGGACGTCCCTGATGTGGCTGGCCAGGTAATTCTTGAAAACGTCCGCTTCCTCCGCTTGCTCGGGCGTCAGGAAACCGAGGAAATCCGTGTAAACGTCCATTAACTTACTGTTAACAGCTCTGTGCAGTGTTTTGGCCAGCTTCACTGGGTTCCCGCTGTCGGCGTCGAACTGTGAGAATATCGTGTGTATCCGATTCTTTAGGCGCGATTTTTTGTGGCTCATCCGCATTGTTAAACGTATTTGATATGACGTTACAAATGCTGAAAGACAGTAATACATATATATATATTTTAATTACACGAGTAACAAAACTGTATAAAATGTGGGTAGGCTTACCTAAATCATAGTTAAATTAAAAAGTCTATGTTTAAATCATTGAATAGTACATTAATACAGTAATAGTACATTGTGCACCAAGCAAAGACGACGGATTAGATGTCCTACTTTTTTCCCGCAGTGCACATACTATTTTTTCTCCTACCAGGCTAAGAGTTCGACATTGTAAAAAACTTAGCACCCGTGGAGTACCGAGCCGGGATCCAGGGGCGAAGCCCTGGCCGGGGATGGGGGGGGGGGGGGGGGGGNTATTTAATATCAAAGATTAAAATGTATTAAATATTAATGTACAATTCTGTAGTGGACATTTAATTAAGGACAGTAAAGTATAATGAAAAATACAGTTACACAAAACTTATAATCTTCAGTGTTATAATATCTTTAACAGCTCCATTTTATTACGTGTAAAATCAGTACCCAGTAGCAAAACCTTTGTTAGTAATTACCGCTTGACACCGATGTGGCATAGACATTATCAGTTTCTTACATGTTTCGACAGGAATGTTTGCCCATGCCTCACAAAAAGCTTCATGAAGTTCATCCAAATTTGTATTACGATAAGTAGCAACTTTTTTCTTGATTTCGTGCCAAAGGTGCTCAATTGGGTTGAGGTCCGGGCTATTTGCTGGCCAATCTAGCACCGATACAAACTGGCTGGTAAGAAACGACTGGACTGAATGGGCGGTAGGGGGGGGGGGGGGGGGGGGGGGGGGGGGGGGGGGGGGGGGGGGAGCCCCTCTTCTCATAGAAAAACAATTTAACTGTTTTTTTATTTTTAAATAAACTACTACTAATTGAATAAGAACTGTCTGATGAACTCATCTTTGTTTAATACTTCACTATTAAATTTTATTGCCTTTTGTTATTTCACTTTTACACTAAGCACAAGCAAATTATTACCCGAGCACAACAATGCCATGACGATGGCGGCGTGGCCCCGTTGTCTTGTTTGGCGGTCTAGTAAGCCCGGGTTGGTTGTGCCGCGTCGCTTTCGGTCAGAACCGTCTACTATACTTGTAGTGAATTAGCTAAACTTACCGAGATCTTCTGGGTTCGAACCGTCCATTTCGCTACTAACTTTCACATCACTATTCGATCGGTACTCTATCTCCTGCGACAGAGTTTCACACTGACACTTGTAATTCTTCACAAAAATCTTTAACCTGTTCGATATCTTTGGATGCGATACATCACTGCAAAAACATTTTTTACTTTTCACCGGATTTTTATGGCTAAAATAATCTGTTATTTGTTTTTGGTTCCCTTTGGTTATCTTCTGCATAATCGTACAACACTGGCAGTGGTTACGTTCTAATTGTGTTGCTGTCTCTTTCTCCGGTAGCTCCGTCCTGTTCTCGTGTTGCGGCTGCGCTGTAGCGCTGACGACAGCGGCTGTGGTCACGGGAGATTGCACTGCGTTGACTGTGTTAGTGCTTTGTAGAAGTTTTAAAGGTATCAACACCGGTCCCGTGGACGTTTCCACCATGCTGTATATGTTGGTCGCCAGCAGAACCTCAGTCGACGGCGTCTCTGTCGCCACGCTACTGAATATTCCCGGATCGGGTAAAGCCCCGGTTCTTTGCTTGTTCTTCTGAGGTTCGTCCGTTACCAAGTCGATCGGTAAGGGAACTTTTTGCGGAACTTCCAAGGGCTTTTCAAAGTCAACCAGTACCCCTGCCGGTGGTTGGATGGGCACCACGGTGCTTCGATGCAAGTTAAACTGAAACAAAAGATTTTTTCTATATTAATTTCTTTTTTGCAACTCGGCCAATGGATTACACCTTCAAAACCACCATGCCTTTAGTTTTACCATTTGTATAATCGTAAGACGTTTGGTGCAGCAAAGCGTGTATGTTTTTGAAAACGACAGGAGACGCAAACTGGACGACAGACGAAAAAAAGTGTGTGTGTCCGCTCCGACGCACGACTGGAGTTTACTGGATATAAAAAATTAAACGAAACAATACGAGAAATAGTTCTATATTACGACAACACGATACACTACAGATTATTAACAAATTAACGAGACACAAAACAAACGACTAACAAATATATGAAAATACAATAATGAGAGAAACGCGCGATCAGTACGAGGCTTTGTGGCGGACTGCCGGCGCAGCAGCCCGGCGTCACCTGCGATAACGCGGCCGCGCGTTGGCTCCTGATTGGCGCGCGCACGCATCACGCAATCAGGAGCCAATCAGGCGCATAACGCATTTCGTGTGACATGCTAGTACGATTTTGATTGGCGCGCGCACGCATCACGCAATCAGGAGCCAATCAGGCGCATAACGCATTTCGTGTGACATGCTAGTACGATTTTGGTCCCCATAATTTTCATACCCCGGGCCTATATATGTAAATCGATTCTAAAGGAGTAAACTCCAATAAACTGAAAAATAGACCGTCCTCCACCATTTTTTACAACTTCGTGGATGGTGATCTTATGTGTAGCTTCTGTTTTTTTTTTTTTTTTTTGCCCTTGTAAGCAGACGAGCATACGGCCCACCTGATGATGAGTGGTTAACGTCGCCCATGGACTTCAGCACTGCCAGGGGCAGAGCCAAGCCGCTGCCTACTATTGTGCTACTGCTGTTTGCGCACGTTTGAGAACAAAATAGGCTACCATAGCCATATTAGAGGGCACGCCTTTTTTTCCCTGCCTATGCTGATAGCTTTGCGAGGCTATTTCAGCTTCTCCTTGACGTGTAGGTGAGCTCACGAGGCTTAAACCGGAAGTGTTGCTAACACTGGCCCAAGCAAGAGCAGTGCTTCGCAGAATCTACCACCGGATTGGAAACGCGACCCACTGAGAAACTCAGTGGGCTGTGTCTATGGGTTAATTTACGCGCTGAGCCCTTCGTTGCAAGCGACGGGTTCGGCGAGAACGGTGACCGGTGCTTGAGATCAAGTGCACGACAGGCGCGAACATTAGCTATTAAGTTATTAAACGAAAAATTTTGACCGAAACCGGCTTGGAACCATGACGATGATTTATATTTGACAAACGACATCCTTAATCTGGTGGTAGGACCTCTTGTGAGTCCGCGCGGGTAGGTACCACCACCCTGCCTATTTCTGCCGTGAAGCAGTAATGCGTTTCGGTTTGAAGGGCGGGGCAGCCGTTGTAACTATACTGAGACCTTAGAACTTATATCTCAAGATGGATGGCGCATTTACGTTGTAGATGTCCATGGGCTCCAGTAACCACTTAACACCAGGTGGGCTGTGAGCTCGTCCACCCATTGCTTAGGCAATAAAAAAAAAACTTACTTTGAATCGCTTGCATTTCTTGGCGAGGTGTCGTATCCATATCCTTGGCATTTCCGTTTCGGAATGTTCGTAGAGCGTCATCTTAGGGTTGAAAGGCAGGAGGCGGTGAGCGACCGGCGTCACTTGACCAGTTTTCAAGAATTTCTAGAACAAATAATATGGCGTTATTTTAAGTTCTTATTTGATGGATGAAATTAATTTCACAACTCTACAAAAACAAAAAAAATATATCATTCTTTGTCCTAACGTTTATGCTAGGGTTTTCCGTTTAATTATTCACAAAAACTAAAATAAAATACCTTTTTTTTTGGTATAAAGTTTGCTTTTGTGATAGTTATAGTAATAATAAACATTTTTCATTTTTTTTATAAATTTTAATTAATCTTAATACTTTCAAAAAAATCGCGCTATGAGAGTGGAGTGTTTACGTTTACACAGTGCCACTGGATGGCACTCGAGTCATAAACAACGATCAGGTGTTTTGTACAAGCCCATAAAAACCCCTAAAATGTCACGAAAGTGTAAATACGATGCTGATGCATTTTGTTTCATATGTAGTCAATTTATTAAAGTTCAAAAGCAAACTGTTTCATGCCATGTATTTTTTTCCCGTCTAATTACGATCTAAAATATCGAAATTTTATGTTTTGCAATCAATGTCAAATTTGGTGTTGACCCGTGCTTTCAATGCAACTAAAACGTATGCTACATCATAATATTATCACATACAATCACATCTCCAAAACGTCACTTTAGCGTATTAGGATTTTGGAAATTATATTTTGTACTAGCGACCCGCACTCGCTTCGCTTCGGAACCTTTTTTTTTTTTTTTATTGATAGTTGAGTCCCGCGATGTTACCCGCGGTTATTGTCGTACCGCGGGTGACGCCGCGGGGTGAACCTAGTCTAAAAAGCCTAATGCCCGTATCTTTAGACGTTTCGTAAAATAGTCCTCCACTCTTAACTCATCCGATGATGCTCGAGAATTCCCTCCAAACTTACTCGAGTTTGGTATTTTTAGTCGACCATTACAATATTCCTCAACTGTCCTCGAGTGAGGTAATAATGATGAAAATTTGATCAAGCTAGCATCAAACCCATAGAGTTCTGTAGNGACGTTTCGTAAAATAGTCCTCCACTCTTAACTCATCCGATGATGCTCGAGAATTCCCTCCAAACTTACTCGAGTTTGGTATTTTTAGTCGACCATTACAATATTCCTCAACTGTCCTCGAGTGAGGTAATAATGATGAAAATTTGATCAAGCTAGCATCAAACCCATAGAGTTCTGTAGTCTATGGTCATTGTTTAATGTCAAAGTCAGGCTGCCGCTGTCTGTTTGACACTAGATGAACTTGTTTGATATTTTGGTTGCTGAGTTATTCGTAAATATGTGTGCGTGCGGTAAATCTGAAAGTGTATTATTTATTTTCTAACCTATTATTATTTTAGATTTCGGATCCGGCTTTGTATTTTTATTCGCCGCTTTTGTGTGATTTTGGTTGCATCGTGTTGTTGAAGTGCTTTTCCACAACCACCAGTTTATTATTATATAAATAAAATTTATAATCGCATTGACTTTATTTATCAGGTAGTAAGCAAAATATGTCTCTTATGTAGGTAAATAAAATAAAGAGTTTCAAATGTCTAACCTCGAACTAGTTACTTTATTAATAAATATTATCAAACTTAAATTATCAAAATACGCGGGAATCATGCACAGATCCAGGCCATTGCACAACAATATCATATATTTCCATTTGCGGTCCACATACTATTTGGACATTGATAGAAAACCAGCCTTGAGGAACATTCAAGGTACGTCGCGACATACCTTGACTTGACAGTTCCCCTACTTCACTCCGGTTAGGAAAATTGTCCAAGGACGTTTGAATGGAGTTTATTTTTACGACTAATCATACCAAAACGCGCGTTGGAGGTTGAGTCGAGTCGAGTTAAGCTCGTGTAAACGACTAAAGATACGGGTGTTAGTTACTCCTTATATCATTAGCTACGCGCGCGATTTTTTTACCGCCAGTGCGGATACTCCTATAATATTAAATGTCTTACAGAATTACGAGAAAAAAATCGCGTGGTGAAATATCGCTGTGCGGACAAGGCCTAAGTGTTTGTAGACCATTTCTTAGAAAATCATAAAACAAAATTAGATAATTTTAAAATAAAGAATAACGTGGTATTTTAATTAACAATTGATGGGTTATAGTTTCCGGTACATCGTACAATACATTGAAAAATAATGAAAGTAGTAGAGTAATTAAAATTATGACAGTAGAATACACAAATAAATTATGCAATCAACTCTAACAATGAACCTAAAACTAAAAACCTTACAAAATAATAATTATAATAATAATTGCCATCAGCGGCAATATATTTTTATATAGTGTATTTTAAAAATTGTACTTTTAATACCTTTATTGAAAAATATTGCGTAATTAATAAGATTTTAAATAAATATAGAACATAATAATAGTAATTTAATACGTGATTCGCTACACTACAAACAGCTACTAGACTTAACATGTTCGCGGAACTAAACAGCTACAAGTACAAACAGCTACTAGACTTATCATGTCCGGCAATGTCCGCGGAACTATACAGTTCTGCGAACATGTTTTCTGGAACTAGTTCCGACACTCGAAAGAACGATGTCATGTTCAATCCTTTACAGAACATGATTAGCGCATGTCTAATCCCGTCTTATCATCAGGACGGGTACCGACGAAGGCGGACTTTCAGTGCGCACTGCGGTACCGTAGGTCTGGTGAAGCCGGTGTGGTGGAGCTCGATGAGGTTTAGTCGGTAGTCGTTCTGCGGGGCAAGTGCTTCGCGCGCCTTTTTCAAGGCGTAGTCTCCTGCGAGGAATTCGGGGAGGTGGAGGACCTTGGCCCTCCTCGTCCCTCTCTTCCTCTCAGGAGGCACCGGAGTCCGACATAACCCGGTTCGTTACCCCCCCGGACAGGGTATTCGTAAATGGATTCACCAGCGTTAAAAAAAAAAGAAGGTATAATGTAGCAAGAGAAATACGAGAACGTCTATCAACTGTGTAACATCTCGTCACCGCGATTCAGGAATTGTTGAATTTACGTGCAGCTCCTGTGTTACAGAAAAATGACTACTCACCGTAATAGGATTACTAATGTCTCCGTAATGCCTGACTTTGAGTATATGCGTGACGAGCAGCCTCCCGGTGGTCCAGGGAAACATGTGGCGGGCCACGAGATCTACGGCGGCCGCCAGCCCAGGCCGGTTCCACGGCCTCTGAGCCTTGCGGATCTTGAACAAGTCAGTGTTGCTCTCGACGTACTGCCAAAATTGATCGAGGCCTAACGCGATCAACCTGATGCGGATAATATGTACTATTTTTTTATTGCTTAGATGGGTGGACGAGCTGGGTGAAATAGCCATTCAATCTTCGATATGTTTTATTTGAATACACACATGTATATCAATATCTGGTTTCCATAGTATAGGGAAGAATTGATCAAATGACATTTAGATGTCTGCCATTATTTTTTACCTACAAGAACATTATTTTTTTAAAAGATCACAAGCCGTACACTTCTTACAAAGCTTCACTGGGCATTGAAAATTAACATTATTATTTATTGTCATTATTATTAGGGAGTCCAACGCTCATATATATATTTGCCTATCCATTAAGTACATGTATTTTCTACATGGATACCAAGTTTCAAGTCAATCGGATGCACGGTTCAGTAGTTATAACGGAACATCCGTAAAAACCACTGTATTCGTATGTCGTATCACTCATGTCAGAGCGGTCGTGGTCGTCGTCCAGCATCATTGCTGTGTGCAGATGTTACGCGCCTCACGAGCAATCGTCACTCCTCCCGGTTTGTAGTGAGCCGGGTACACTCATAAAAACCACTATAGATTTATATATTAGTATACACAACTCACTCGTCCTCCGACCGAACGTAGTTCCTCCTCCTGACGACGTCGGGTCGGTACGGCGCCGGCGGCAGCAGGTGCGGGTAGAGGAACACCGTGCTGTTCGATACGATCTCCTTGAACGTCGCGTGGAACTCGCACAGTAGCGCCGTGTTCGTGAGCACGCGCTGGAGGCTGCAAGCACGTGAGCGCTGATGACGTCACCATTGTTAGATTTTTACATTTTGAAATCTACCGCCACCCGCGCAATCTACTGAATCATCTATACTTATACTTAATATTAAAAGATTTGTTTGTTTGTTTGTAGCGAATAGGCTCCGAAACTACTGAACCGAGTGCAGGACCTCGAGGTTACTAGAATAAGAAGAAATAAATAATAGTTTAAAAAACCTAAAAAAATACGCTTTTCAGGATATTATCAAAATAACCCTTCTACTCATATCTGTTCATAAAATATTTATAACTACTGATACCATGCACCCCACGCTTTTTTTTTACAATAAAATCATTTTTTCTCACACTATTTTTAATTCTAATTTATTTTCTATTTTTTAGTTTGTATTTCTATAAAAGCGTATTTGTTTAGTTTTTTTAACTATTATTTATTTCTTCTTATTCTAGTGAACTCGAGGGGTTCTATTCGATTCTCAGTAAATCGTCGCCGGCGCCATCTGGCGACCGCGTCCACGAACTGCGGTGACGGGCACGTGTCGCGATCACAGCGGCACGTGGTATATGAGCTCTTGTATGATACTAATTCATTATCCTAGCACAATATATCCTTTTTTTTTTAAGAAAATCATCATTTGGCACTAGCAGTTTATTATAGATAGTTTAGTTATAGATAGTTTATTATAGACATAAATAATATAATAAATTTTAGAAATTTAAGGACATCAAAAAATGACTTATTTAAATTAAGTAATAAAAATTTTAGACAAGTAGCAACATCGCTACAGTATTTTATACACAATTTCCTAGCTATAAATTTAGCTAAAAAAATACCTGCTTCTATTGAGCAGGAAAAAAATATGACATGTTTTAAGACTTTGGAATCTGCTTCCAATTTAAATTAATTAATAAGACAAAAGAGTCACACTCTTGCAATTACAAATCAATTAATACAACTAGATTATACCCATCAAAAGACGTTAACGTTTCAATTATTAACATATTCAATTTGGTGCATCAAAATTTACAAGGGATGATGGGTAAAGAGCTAGAAATTGAAATGTTTTTAAATATGCATAATATTAATATATTCTGTGTTACTGAACACTGGTTTAGAAATTATGAATTATTGTTTAATTTTAATGATCACCAGTTGTCAAGTTCCTTCTGCAGAGAGAACGCTATTCGCGGTGGCTCACTGATTCTCGTTCTCGTTAGTAAATGTTTGTATTTTGAAGTCAACGAATTAAGTATTTTTTTTAAATGAGAATGCTTTCATCAATTATATGAGGGCAGCCGTGTAGATAAGTGAATTTTAATTGAACGAATGGGACTAAAAATTCTTATTTTAAAACGCATGCCACAATTAAATATGAATATTTCACATGTGTCTTCAGTTACATAATAAATTTCTTTTATTTATAATTTTATATCATAATACTCAATTTGTTTTTAAAACGATGTTGAGTGAATGAAACGATGGATACTATTGATCTTAATTACGAATGTTTTTGGTTCAACAATTCGCACGCGACACGCGAAAACTGGGATTTAAAAGGAACTAGAGGTCCTGCAGTAGTCGAAATTCAACTATAATTAATTGGAATTGTAATTTTGTACACTATTATGATTGTTTTTTATACTTCTATAATCACAAATTTCGCCAATACTACACTATAAAAAATATTAACAAAGACAAACAATATTTAATCTCAATTTGACAACAGACGTCAAGAACAAAAGTTTGACAATAAATAGTATGCATGCGTGTGTGCGTCAAATACATGGTATGTAGTGTGTGCAATGTTTTCTTTATTGATTTAATGTATCTTTTATGCATTATTAAAAAAAAAAAAAATTAGCATTGTGCACTCTTTTCTATATTCTCTATAATTGTGGAAAGTTACATACTCCTCCGTCCGCGCAATTTTCGTAAAAAGGGATACAAAGTTTTTGCTTCACGTATTAATATATAGATTTATTTAGTTAACGAAAGTAAATTAGCGTGCATGTTACGAGCACTAAAATGTGAATAACTAAAGGAAAGTTTTTTTATTGCTTACATGTGTGGACGAGCTCACAGCCCACCTGGTGTTAAGTGGTTACTGTAGCCCATAGACATCTACAACGTAAATGCGCTACACACCTTGAGATATAAGTGCTAAGGTCTCAAGTATAGTTACAACGGCTGCCCCACCCTTCAGACCGAAACGCATTACTGCTTCACGGCAGAAATAGGCAGGGTGGTGGTACCTACCCGTGCAGACTCACAAGAGGTCCTACCACCAGTAATTACACAAACTATAATTTTGCGGGTTTGGTTTTTATTACACGATGTTATTCCTTCGCCGTGGAAATCAGTCGTGAACATTTGTTGAGTATGTATTTCATTAGAAAAATTGGTACCCGCCTGCGGGATTCGAACACCGGTGTATCGCTAGATACGATTAAACATTGATTAACACAAAATGTTGCCGCCTCTCACTCCTACTCCTGCTGTGTGGCCAGGATTCACTACTCACGTGTTATAATTTAGACTGGGATCTATTTTTTTTTTTTTTAGAGATTTTATGACCTGGTAACTGAGACCTTTAAGTCATGTCTTATTTTAATGTATATTCTTAATTTTATGAAAAATGATGTTATGGAGTGAAATGAAATGAAAATGATTAATTTGAGACATTAATCAACTGGGATGAAATTAAATGAGATGATATGAGATGAAATCTAATCTCAGTAAAATGGTGGTCATTTACTAAGATTTTTTCAGTGGACTTTTTGGAGGATCCCGAGAAGTTACGTCCAGCGCCTTTGTTTCATTTTCCCACATTTGTGCACTTTCACAGATATTAAACGGTTAATAAACCACCATTATTACACATTTAAACCCGAAGAAACACTAAATAGACAAAATAAAACTAATCACACAACTTCACTCCACGCGTTCCCGCCAAAAAGTCGACTGGGATCTATGGCAGTTGATGTTGCCATGAAACACACGCATAATTTATTCATGCATGTGCACTTATTATATTAAATTAACTATATAAATTTTTACTCACTTTTTGCTGCATTGCTCTTGGTAAAACCTAAAAATCGAAATAAAACGTTAGACCAATAATCCGTAACTAATAAATTTAATTTCTGTTGGTAACCCAAAATACGTTTCTTAAAAATACTTAATTTTAAAATTATAATTTAAAATCTACTAGATGACAGAAAACATATTTTCCTATTCTCTATAAAATATAAATATTCAGTATTTATTAGTACAGTATTACTTAGTACTGCTGTAAATAAATTATATTTGTTAATAAAGATTTGTCAATAACAATTATAATGATATTTTATTTAAAAAAAAAATAAATTTAAGATTAATATTGAGATAAAAATAAAATACTTGATAACCGTTTTCTCTTCTTCCAGATTAATCTTTTTATTCTTTTTAGTAACTATTGGCTTGTTTTATTGTTATAAATGTTTTTTTTTGGGAATATTCTACTTTCAAAATTACTTTTTCAAAACGTCCAAGACAAAATGTAATACATGAATTTAACTCTTCGAGCACCAGTGATTATGGTGTCATTTCGAATTTCAGGCGAACGCCACTAAAATTAATTATGATTTCGAGCGATAAGTAACTGAACAGTAAAATCAACACTCACTTGACAACCTCTGCGTTTTCTGGAGTGTCTTTAGCCATGTTCTTCTCCCAGGATGTCACTAATTCTAATGCCGGCTGAAGATTGCACACATTGGCTACTGTATTCGGATTCGCATCGTACATTTTTATAAAAGTCTCCTGAAAAAAATAATATAGATAGAATTATAAACATGAGTGTAAAGAAGCTCTTAGTTGAAAGTGTCTTTGGGTTAAAGCAGGGCTGTCCAACCTACATACCTTTGCGGGCTAATTGAGATTACGATAAAAGTTGGAGGGCCACAAAAAAAATTGTATAAGATAGCTTCACTTTTAAATGATGCCATGGGAATGGAATGTTACAAGTACAATCATAAATTATACTAAATATTGAATATATGTTTTGACAAAGAATTCTATTATTCAAACTGTTTATGTATATCCAAAACTATTTTCTGATTACAACATGCGTCGCGGGCCGATGAAAACCAGCCCTTGTCTAAAGGATAAGTCTGTTAAAATTCCGTAGGAGGGTACAACTTTTTCTACTGAAATCGTATAGATACTGTATCATATTATAGGAGGGAAAACAAGAATGCTTTTTGGTATAGAAATACAATACCACCTACATACTTACCACCAGTACAGTAAAAGTGGAATTTGTAGCATCCAGCAAATCATATTATTATAAGATTTGTTTTAAAACGTTAATAAAAGTTTACGTCACACGACTATTACCTACCGCGTACATACCAAATATTCTTTATAATCTGACGCATAGCTCCAGTGATACGGATGTATGAAGATCTGGAGGAAGTTCGAAGCGGCCAGCTGGATGTGCTGACGCAGCTGTTGTTGCAGCAACAGGACTTGTTGAGGCAGCACCTGCCCACAGATACGGTAATGTCTCATATATTTTAAAGTGAAACTTTTATTACATCGTTTCATACTTTTTCGTCTGTGTGTTGCATGTCGCGTGACGGTCGGCTGCAGAGTAGGGATAAAGTGAAAGGCGCTCGTCAGAGCAGCCAAGGCCAACATGGCGGCGCGTATAGTTCGCAGCAGCTGACCGTGTAGTGTATAGACTATTACTCATTTGTGCCAGTGCTCCACGCTATTTTGTTTGTTTTTGTCAGTGTTTAATGTAAATGTTGTTTGTCAGTGTTAAATGTCTATAATGTGAAAAAAAGTTTCACTTTTACCGTGGTTTTATAAAACCCACACAATCCTTTTTTTATAGATAAAAGAAAGAAATTTCAGCGATAGCTATCCTAAAACACAAGATGCCTGAGTCGCGCTAACGACATTTTCAAGATCAATTTGCATGTCTACAAGTTCCGAACGAGACTTGGATTGTAGTTCCAATGGGCAATTTCAAATCTACAAAAGATCTTTCCTTTATATATTCGTAAGATCGAACAGCTTTATTAAGGTATCATTCTACATTGTAATTTGGACTACATATCTGCCACTATAGATATAGACAGCTACCACCACTACTACCTTAGATACTATATTTACATATCTGTGTTGGTGTCCAGTCCAATATTATAATTTGTGGCAGTTACGTTTTAGATTTGCATTATTTTATTATTGTAAATTTTAGGTGTGCAATCAATAAAAATTCTGGCCAATCACTATCTCTAATAAAGACCTTTGGACTAAATGTGACCAAACCCCATCACGCAAGACATTGCTCATCGGAAATGGTGTTGGATAGGACACACTCTACAGTGTAGCGGAGTCAACGCAGCATCAATCGCGTTTGAGTGGCAACCGTTTGGCTGGAGAAGACCTGGTCGCCCTGTACACACTGGAGGGATATCAAGCAAGCGCAAGCAAGCGCAAAACAGGGTCAAGTGGAGTCAACTTGTGAGGGCCCTATGTACCAGCGGGGTACCCTAGGACCACAACAACAAGAACAAAAATCAATAAAAAACAAAAGAAGTACCAAGGCATGACTTACAGTGACTCCAGGACTGACATGTACGTGTACAATGTAAGATTCTTTATCTTGTGTTTCCCCGAACTTCCTCAACGACGGCGGAGCTTTGGACAAATTCATGGACACCGGGTCTTCTTCTCTGATCATTATATCTACTTGGCGTTTCCTGTAGGTTTACACAAAATAACTTATAGCGCGGCGGGCGTGGACGCTATCATCCTCTTCGAAACCTGACCTGGTGAGGTTGGAAGCCCGTCCTTGTGGGTACCACCATCTGCCTATGTCTCAAACTGAGTGATGTCTATGGGCTCTCGTAACCAAGTGACGCATCTCAACGCGTTTACCAATTTGAGCATTAAACATATATGCATAGAGTTGTATGTTGAAGTTATGTTAGAGAATAGCTGATATGGATGGGCGTCTCTGGGTGCCGCATCCACAATCAGTATCTTGGCATCTATAGTCGACAAACTATCATTGTAATTGATTTCTGGCCTGTTTTTTTTTTTATTTTATTTTTTTATTGCTTTGATGGGTGGACGAGCTCACGGCCCACCTGGTGTCAAGTGGTTACTGGTTATATACAACGTAAATGCGCCCCTCACTTTGAGATATAAGTTCTAAGGTCTCAAGTATAGTTACAACGGCTGCCCCACCCTTCAAACCGAAATGCATTACTGCTTCACGGCAGAAATAGGCAGGGCGGTGGAACCTACCCGTGCGGACTCGCAAAACGTCGTCCTACCACCAGTAACTAATTATTATTAATTAAAATTATATTTTTTTTATCGTAACCGAAATGCTACTTTGACGTTATATAGTCCGATAGTTCGGAATGCATTATGTCGGTGGCGGACCAAAGTTAGCAAAACAAATAGTAACAAAAAGTTGGTTTACTTTGGCAATGAAGGCGTCAGCTTTCCCCTCTCCTTAAGTTTATTAGTTTCCATAGATTTGTTGTTTCCCTGTCCGCCCTGAACCTTGTCCACGGATATTTCTTTTCCGTTCGAATCTGAATAACCGTGCTCCGGTATATCTTCCACTTGTTTCTTCCCTGCGCATGCGTTTTCATAGTTTTCGTGTAACGTTTTGAGCGTTTCATCGTCCGACGTGGGTTCCTGCTTCCCTTCCCAGTGTGAGACCTGTTTAAAACCATGTGTTATAATTTCTCAAAACATGGATAATATTTCTTTAGATCTTAAAATATTTTTAATTCAATTGGTTTAGTAATATGTTTAAAAGATGTGCAAAAAAAAAAACGGTGCGCGTGCAACTTGATGCACGTGAAAGAAGTGAAACTTCTTTTTCGATGACTCTCCGAAACTTCATTTTTCATCCTTAAATCAGATTGCTTTTGTAATAGGGAATGCTGTGCATAGGGATTTCCACGGTGAAGGAATAACATCGTGTAATAAAAATCAAACCCGCAAAATTATAATTTGCGTAGTTACTGGTGGTAGGACCTCTTGTGAGTCTGCACGGCCAAGTACGGCCACCACCCTGCCTATTTCTGCCGTGAAGCAGTAATGCGTTTCGGTTTGAAGGGTGAGGCAGCCGTTGTAACTATACTTGAGACCTTAGAACTTACATCTCAAGGTGGGTGGGCACCAGTAACCACTTAACACCAGGTGGGCTGTGAGCTCGTCCACCCATCTAAGCAATAAAAAAAAAGGTGTGGCCTAAGGTTCGTTCCTTACATCGGTGCGCGCGTTGCCCGTGAGCACGCTGTTGGCCAAGTTCTCCGCGAGCTGCACGTCCTCCGTGGATTCGGGCATAAAATTGAACAGCTCCGTGACCAGATCGTTCAGTTCCTTCTTCGATATCTTTATTATGCTCTTACTGAGATTGTCTTCGTCTTCGTCGTCTGTTGGAATGAAGGATAATGTGTGTGTAATAACCAGCTATTAGATTTACCCAAATATATATATAATATATTATATATACTAGCTGTACCCATCCGCTTCGCTGGGCATTTAAAATTAACATTATTATTTCTCACCTTCACAAAGATTCTCATCATTAACTCCCCCGCAACTGGTGTAGGGAGTCCAACACTCATATAAACATTAGCCTATCCATTAAGTACATGTATTTTGTACATGAATACCAAGTTTCAAGTCAATCGGATGCATGGCTCAGTAGTTACAACGGAACATCCGTAAAAACCATATATATATACATATTACCATGCAAAAAGCGACAATTTTAAATACGTGCCGGATTGTTCGCAGTTTTTGCAGGACGAAACATCAGACGAAACTAAAACTGAAAATAAACGCCACTTGGCATAGACCCGTGGTTTTTCAGTATTTACCGAAATTTATAGAAATTCGAGAGTAAAAACTTTGTACATAATAATAATAACCAGGAACAATAATGGTCATCAGGTACGTAATTAGGATTTCCTATACTAAAGAGCTTACAGTTCACCTAGTGTTACGTTTTCATCAGCCCATAGACATTCACAACATAAATGGCGCCACCTTATGAGTTCTAAGTTCTATAGTTTAATGATTGCCCTACTCTTCGAACCAGAACAAAGCCGAGGCCCTCCTCATTCATGGGAAGGGATTCTTCATGAAACGGGCAGCAATATTTTCTGAGTACATATGTAATACCAGTGTACTGCGTTCGTCAACACTTATTTACTGGTGGTAGAGCATTTGCAAGACCGCACTGGTATATACCAACATTCTACCTGACTCTGACGCGAAGTAGTAATGTGTTCCAGTTTGAACAGGTGAGGCCAGCATTGTAAAATGTAAGCGAGACTTCAACTGTTTCAAGGTGCGACAACCTTTCAGGGTTCATAATATGTGGTCTACGGGTTCGTATAGCCTCTTGGCAACAAGTGAACTGTGAGTTCGTTCAGACATCCAATAGCATTAAAAAGTTAACATTAGTGACTTACTGGCGTCAGGATCAGCAGCTACATTATACTCGGGGTCTGCTTCGTCATCATCTTCATTTCTAGATGTGGAAGCTGGGTTCAGGCACTCGTTCAAGAACTGATTCCAGAGGTCATCGTCCACAGGCATGGGTATGTCATCTGGTGGTACAAAAGTACTTTCTATGTGCTCTATGGGAGTTGAAGAGAGAGAGAGCTTGGAGCGAGTGCGACGGGCTATAGTTGCTTCCTCCTCGTCGAGTTCAAGTTTCCGTTTCGCTGCTGATGCTGTCTGCGAAATAAAGCACAAAGCATCCTTTTCAAATTCAAAAAGCAGTTTTGATACATTTTACGGTTTTTGAAACGGTTTATCTCAGGCATATTTTCAATGTCTCTTTTTTTTAGGATTGAAGGATTACTGGTCGCCCGGAGGCCCGGTGGCCTTTCCAATTTCACCAGGACAGGTGGGCGAGCAAAGGCTCAGTCAGAAGGGGTGGGATTTGCTAACAGCTGCCTGAGCGCTTCCGAAGGTCTAACAACTCAAAAGCAGCTGCTTCGCGGACGAATCGACTACCGGATCGGAATCGCGACCCGCTGAGAAGATCCCTCGAGAAACTCAGCGGGCTGATGCATGTTTTTACTTTATCGTCAAAACATAATAAATAGCAAATATGTGGCGTTTAAGGTGCTATGTAATTATTTGCATCATGCCTGTGTGTCACATACCTGTGGTATTTTAAATGGTCCATCTTGAACAACCTTAGGACTCTTTTGTTTGCCCGGAGTGGCCGGAGTCCTCGGTTGAGAGTCCAGATCGCTGCATGACTCTGCCTGATCATCATCACTCTAAAAAAAATAATTGTTTGTTACTTTCATTTTTCTAAAACAATGTGTAATTTTTTAATCTTCTTCTTCTTTCTTTCCTATCACCCTCTGCTGGGGTGTAGGGCTCGAATCAAATTCTTCAATTTACATCGGTCTTAGACAATCTGTTCTAGCTCCACCTACGTCATACCCAAGACGCCCAGCTCCTGCTCCACCGAGCGACGCCATCTTGTTCTGGGACGGCCTCTGTTCCTTTTGCCAGACATTTCCCAGGTCAGTGCTCTCTTGGATAGGTAGGTGGGTATTGGGCTTTTTTAATAGATAAATGTAATTTGTTATGTAAAGAATTTGAGGGATAGGAACGGGAGGTAAGAAAAGCGATCACAGTCAACGCTGTAATAAGACACACGGTCACCCCAAGGACATTGAACGACGAAGTCATCGGCGAGCACTATTTTAGGGAATTACGGTCAACGAACTGGGGCTCCTAGGCGGTTCCACTGATATTCCGAGGCACCCCATTGTACCAGAACGTGCCAGTTGATTCTGGGCGCTATTCACTATCAACCGGCTAATTAATTTCAATCCTTGCGGCAATCGAAAGTAAACAGTGCGCTACGCGACCTCCGACATGACCGGCCGCCCTCAATCGGAATACCGAGGAAGGGCTTCTCTTACACACACGAGCTGGGGGTCAGTCCTCCTACCAGACTCGATCACTACTTCTATGTGAAGACGAGCCTTTTTGTCATTGCGCCAAAATTCCAAGGAGTATCCTTACGGCCTTCCGCGAGTGTTGAGATTCTTGGTGTCGTTTTTGGTTTTATTCCTACCTATTCTAGTATCCTCAAGGAGTTATACTAGATTCACAGAACTAGAAAGTTTCATGTCCAGTATGGGAGTCATTTGGAGGACAAAACCAAGTGGGCCTCAATAAAGCTGAGAGCCCTCAATAGAGCGATGAGGAGCTTCACACCAGGACAAAGTCTTTTCTTTACAAAGTACAAACAAAGCACATGTTATATAACTATGATTTTCAAAAACACTGGAAATAGTGTGGTACAGCCTTGAATGAGAAGAATCTCTTGGATGTTTAGAGACCAGGAATGTAACTTTAATTTTTTTACTTTTGATTCTAATGTGATAAGGAAGCAAGCACCTACTTATTCACTTACAATAATTTTATTTTCAACAAAAATCAAGTAAACTCACCGGGATATCATCTGCTGTTGGTTGATATTCATCATCATCTTCATCTTCAGGTAACTCTTGGGCTATCAGAGCTTTCACCTCAGGCCTTGTTTTGACAGGTATGTGTTTAATTGGACATAAATCAACTGGAATTTTCCAAGCGATTTTCGGTGATACTTTCATTAGCTCCCTAAGAAAAGATTATTTATTTTTACTTAGCAAAGCCTGTAATGATTTGTTACAAACATTGCTAAATAAATATAATAAATACCGACAGGATATTAGCACCGACCCGTCCTGACTTATATTCATCTAGTCTACCAACATTCATTTTAATTTTACGAGGATTAAAACTTGTAACCTTTGTAAAAAAATTGTTTGAAGTATTGAAATGGTAAAAATGTGTATCCTACTAAAATAAATCACTACATTACCCGAATCACACAATTTTTTTTACACAATCACTAGCAGACAGCACAAGACACAGTAACCACTCACCCTCAGGTGTATGCTTGTCTGCCTAGAGGGGTAGTAAACAAGGAAAAAATACTGGAGTGATAAATATTTACTTGGCCTTTGATCGAGTGATCTTAGTTGGCACTTCTCTTTCTTGAGTACCACTCTCCATCTCTTCTTCTTCACGTAGTTTGACATAAGCTAATACATGATCATTTTTTACAACTGTCTGAAATGAAAACCAAAATTCAATTAAAGTGTATCTTTTTTACTTCTACTGAACTTAAGATGTTTATATATATTGACATTTAATAGGAGTAAGATGTTACCATTTAATAGGTTGAACATCAAGCGACCCACTAGTGGACCTAGCTTCCATTTGCGACCATTTGGGCCAAGTCAAAATCAGGTAATCAGTAATTTTTATCAACTTGAGATTTTCATTCTAAGATTTATAAAATGAGATAGGTGTTGAGATAGAAACTACAAATTTACCATCTAGTTTTTAAGATATTTGAAAAGGCTATAATCTTGATAAAAACTACAACTGAGGAACTTGGTGAAAACCAATGTGCTTGCTCAGTTTGGCTAAAGAGCCACACGGCTCTCTTCCATACACGTTTTGTCTGATACTTGCAATCTGTGACTTGTAGGAAACGTTTACATTGGAACACATGGCTCACAGGTGACCCTCATTGCCGGAATGGTTCAGTAAGATAAGGTTCACCGGTGACCACCATGGCCTGAATGAAAATACTCAATTTTTCAGGTGGTGTTCAACGTTCAAGAGAAAAAACAATATTATTGGTATGATGATTTTATACTGAAAATAGCCTTGTAGCCAATTTATGATTTAGCTTCAAGATGTAGGCTATAATGTGAAAAAATAGTTTAAGTACAATTATGTGAGGTTTTTAATAACATTGTGATAGTTTATGGTATTGTATTAGAAGAGAACTAATTATATTTAAATTGTTCTCTAGACAAAACATTTAAAATACTAACCTATACTACACCAAAGTTTTTAAATTTGATCTAAATTTGTATGCAGTACTCAGCCAAATATTTTTTATAACTAGTACTTACTTTTATAATTTTTCTAACACCAGTTTCATTCAAGTTGTTTTTGATGGCAGATGCATTTAGTATTTTTTCAGTTTGAAGAATATTTTCTGGAAGTTCATCAAGATCATCATCACTGCTGATGATGCTATCACTTTCACACCTAAAATATACTTTATTTAATAATAAAATTCTCAATTTATTAATTCATTACTAATTTATAATTCTTAAGCATGACAGTGGTAATAAAATACAATTTAAAAAAAATCAATTTACTTTTCAATAAATTGATTACCAATAATCATGAAGACAAAGTGCTAACATGGTATTACTATTAATATATCTATGCTGTGCCACTAGTTTTGTAAAGAAAATTATTTCTTAGATACTTAACGTTATGCTTACCAAAATTGGATTAATTAATCTGGAATGAACTCAGTGGTTTTTAGTAAACTTATTATTGTACATACCGTTTACGTTTTAATGAGACATTTCTGGATTTTTTTAATGAGTTGAGTTCCGATAACGTTGGAGAAGGGCATTTAACAGATTTATTAGCTTCCATTCTGTGTCCACTTTGCCGGCTTAGAATTTTTCAAATAAACATTGGCAAAATATTTACAGGTAGGTAAGTTTATTTTATTCTGGCTTAATCTATGGACTCAGTAGTAGTAGTAGTTTTATTTTACTAAATGGAAAGGCAAAGGTATCATACCATTAAGCCTAATCTTATATATTTGTTGGAGTTTGAATATAAATGTAATGGCAGGCAACACTTCACTCATGATTACAGATTTCGAATATTAGAATAATTTTAAATGTTTAAAAAATAGATGATTGTCTTCTCGTAAGAAAAAGTTAGGACTTCTCATCTAGACACGGTCAAAGAAACATGTAAGAGTTTTATAAAAAAGATAAAGATATTAATTTTATAATTGTGTAACAGTGTTCAAATTATCTGCAATATAATTATAATGAAGCAGTGTGTTTTTAAATAGCCCCTCATCACCTACAGAACCCAATCCCCTCAAAATCTTAAGCATCCAACATATTTTATAATAAATATGATATTATGAAATGAAATGAAGTTAATTAATATATGAATCATAGCATGAAATGAAATGATATGATATGGGATATTTTTATGAAAAATGTTAATATCTATGGAGTGAAATGAAATGAAGATAATTAATTTGAGATATTAATTAACTGGTATGAAATTAAATGAATGAGTTGAGATGATATGGGATGAAATATTATCTCAGTAAAATGGTGGTCATTTACTGAGATTTTTTCAGTGGACTTTTTAAAGGATCCTGAGAAGTTACGTCCAGCGGCTTTGTTTCATTTTTCCACTTATGGACTCCGTGGTCGTTAACATATATATATTTTTAAGGGATTTATGACCTGGTGACTAAGACCTTTTCAGTCATGTCTTATTTTAATTTAAGTATATTCTTATTTTTATGAAAAATGATAATATGGGGTGAAATGGTCATTTACTGAGATATTTCAGTGGACTTTTTGGCGGATCCCAAGAAGTTACATCCAATGGCTTTGTATCATATTCCCACATTTGTGCACTTTCACAGATATTAAACAGTTAATAAACGACCGTTATTACACATTTAAACCTGAAGAAACACTAAATAGACAAAATAAAACAAATCACACAACTTCACTCCTCGTGTTCCCGCCTAAAAGTCTAACCATAGATTATACACTAGTCTAACATAGATAAGGCAGTGAGCTTAAAGGCTTATTACACTTGGCTATCGACTGAAGCAAGTTAGAAGCTTCTGATTACACTGTTCTAAATTCTGTTACTGCATCACTTGTCAGTTTAAACGCGACGAAGTAGGACGTGTCGTGTGTGTAAGAGGATGGCCCCAGTATTGTCTAGACAACAAAAAATTGGTCTCGGCGTAGCCCTCGCTGTCGGCTCAATTGAAACAAAAAAAAAGAAAAAGAAGAATATGGGTAAAGAAATATTTATTGCTGCGCGGAAAGTTAGCAAATATGAAGATTAGGAGTGATTTAGAACCAGCAGACTTCAGAAATTATCTATGAATGGATTCGAAATCGTTTGACCTAATATTAAACCTTGTGACACCGTTTATTCAAAAGCAGGATACTATCCTACGAGATAGCATAAGTTCAAAAGAAAGACTGGTTGTAACATTAAGATTTCTTGCAACAGGAAATTCGTATCAAGATTAAAATTTAGTTCTTTAATATCCCAACCCCTTGCTGACAAAAATTATCCCTGAAACATGTCGGGCTATTTAATTTTATAAATGTCTGGGATATTAAATAAAGGTGACAGAAATAAATGCTTTTCATTCGGAAGTAAAAAACAAACTAAAATGTCCTTACGCTCGGAGACCTATTGGACGACTGAAATCATTAAGTAAATAAATACGATTACACCTTCCTAAATGCGTTTCTAATTAGGCTTTTAAATGATTTATCAGTCAGAAACCATCCTTGCTACTGAATTTAGTAGGCTAACTTACTAATATACATTAATAACAGCATTCATTACACTTCACTGAACTCAGTAGAGTCTGAATTCAGTCGACTAAATTTAGCCAAGTGTAATAAGCCTTTTACCGCCTATCAATATTGTGAGTTTTATTTTATTTGATTAAATAAACACAACTAACAACAATGACTAATCTAATTATATCTAATAAATGAATAAAAATAATGAATAAAGTTAGAATGTAAATCATTTAAAACGAAAAATTAAGTGCTACCGAATTCAAATTTCAGTTGACCGCTGTTTTATTAAGTGTATATCTATGGTGGACCAGTTATCGACATTAAAATCATAGGTACTAGACCTTGAGACAGACTAGATCACTAGACTAGACTAAGACATTTTGGGGACTTTTTCGCGGGAACGCGAGGAGTAAAGTTGTGTGATGTGTTTTATTTTGTCTATTTAATGAATTTTAATGTTGAAACAAAGCTGCTGGACGTAACTTCTCGGGATCCTCCAAAAAGTCCACTGAAAAAATCTCAGTAAATGACCACCATTTTACTGAGATTTTATTTCATCCTATATCATCTCACCTCATTTCATTTCGTTTTCATTTGATTTTGTTGCACGGTTAAATTTGATCGGATTGGGTTCTGTAGGTGATGAGGGGCTATTTAAAAAACACTTTTTGTTAAAATAGTTGTTTGGAATTTTTGTTTTAGTTTTATATTCAAATAATTGAATTCTTAATATTAAGAAAAGAGAGAAAATTTAAGAAATGAAAGAATGAAAGTTTGTATGGATAATAAAAGGTTGTATGAATAATGTAAGGTTGCATGTGTTATGTGAATTCAAGTGTTGAGTATGTTGAAGTTGTGTGAGGTTATTTGTTATGAGTTATGTTGTCGTTTGTTAGTGGACTTGAAGGTTGTTAAGGTTAAAGAAGTCTAGAGGAAAGATTAAGGTTAAAGAAGTCTAGAAGGAGTTTAAGGTTTGAAAAGGTCGAGAAGGAGTTTAAGGTTAAAGAGGTCGAGAAGGAGTTGTACGGGAGTTGTTGTACTCTTGTACGGGAGTCCGTACGAGTAAATACCACCGCCCTGCCTATTTCTGTCGTGAAGCAGTAATGTGTTTCAGTTTGAAGGGTATGGCCATAGATTATACACTTAATATATTTGGGTATGGCAGCCGTTGTATGTAACTATACTGAGACCTTAGAACTCATATCTCAAGCTGGGTGGCGGCATTTACGTTGTAGATGTCTATGGGCTCCGGTAACCACTTAACACCAGGTGCGCTGTGAGCTCGTCCACCCGTCTAAGCAATAAAAAAAAAGTGATTATCCAACAAATAGAGATATAATTTAAAAAAGTTACTTCTGTAGTCTACAGAGGTATTTACACACCACAGAGGCATATGATATAAGATCTAGTTTGTTAATTTTTATTTTCAAACACTTATAAATATTGTTTTTTTTATGATATACATTGATCATTGGTGTATTTGGAAGTGGTACTTGAAATAGATACAATTTCAAGATTAATAATAATTTTAATAATTCGATTATCTACTTTTACATTTCTCATAAAATTCCGCAAGCAATTGTCTCATGTCTTCGTATTTTGATATTTCCTGTGCTTCTTGCAATGAGAGCCACTTCATATCTTGGTGTTCAGATGAAAGGGTGACTGTCTGTTCAGGATTTTTAAGCTTTGCCAACCAGTACACAACAGTTTTGGGTTCTCCGTTTACTTCATAATTTAAAGTTTTGTTTATGTCTTTGTAAATCTGAAATGAAGTTTTTAAAATGATTGCCTTTTTAATTTAATTAATGGCATTGGCAATAAGTATAACATCTATAAACTGGTTTGCAGGTAAATTTAAATATTAGGTGATATCAGGATATGATTACTCCTATTATCTGTTTTTTGATTCTCTTCTACAAATACTAATATGTTGAAAAGTTCATATGAACCAATTTCTTACATCTAAGTGATCTTCGCACAGACCGGCTTCTTCTTTTGTTTCTCTCAAAGCTGTCATCCAATCAGTTTCTCCAGGATCAACATGTCCTAGTAAATTTCATGTAATTAGTGCTGAGATTAACCAATGATGATAAATTCGGTTTTGTTATTATATCGGATATGTATTAAATTCATTCATTTTACCTTTTGGTGGTGTCCAATGATGTTCTCCGTAGGATGTTTGCAGTAATAGGAATTGTATAATTTGATTATAATTTCTGAAAATAACCAAACCTGCGGCTCTTAAAGAAGACATAACTTCTATTTTATTTTAATTTTTGCATAACTTTCAACCTCATCTAGAGTGTCTAACGTAAGTATTTTCGATGAAACTAATACATAGACCTAGGAACTAATTTAATAAAATAAAATAATAAATTAAATTTTTTTATGAGATTTTATGACCTGGTAACTAAGACCTTTAAGTCATGAAAAATTATAATATGGAGTGTAATTAAATGAAATGAAGATGATTAATTTGAGATATTAATCAACTGGGATGAAATTAACTGATGTGAGATGAGACGATATGGGATGAAATATAATCTCAGTAAAATGGTGGTCATTAACTGAGATTTTTCAGTGGACTTTTTGAAGGATCCCGAGAAGTTACGCCAGCGGCTTTGTTTTATTTTCCCACATTTGTGCACTTTAACAGATATTATACAATTATTAAACCACCGTTATTACACATTTGAACCTGAAGAAACATTAATATAGACCAAATAAAATAAATCACACAACTTCACTTTTCGAGCTCCCAAAAAGTCTTAAAAAATTTCAACCTACAAAATAATCATAGATAATACTATAGTTAATATATACACTTATTTGATAGTAGACCTACCAAACCAAGGTACCTTTTTTTCCTACTTATGCTGATAGCCTTGAGAGGCTATTTCAGCTTCGCCCTAACATGTAGGTGAGCTCACGGAGCTCAAACCGGAAGTGTTGCTAACACTGGCCCTAGCAAGAGCAGTGCTTCGCAGAATCTATCACCGGATCGGAAACGCGACCCACTGAGAAGATTCGACGAGAAACTCAGTGGGTTGTGTCTGTGGGTTAATTCGCTCGTCGAGCCCTTCGTCGCAAGCGACGGGTTCGACGAGGACGGTGACAGGTGCTTGTGGTACCTAAAAGTACCGATCGGGAGGATCCATGATGACGTATTTTGGGCGACGCGGCGACGTCGATTAATTACCATTCCGTCTACAGGATCGGGTATGTAATTTCCAGCGGCCACGACGAGAGGGTTCTCATGTCGTACCGCCTTTTCAAAGTGGTGAAATGATGCCGATTGTAGATACTTACTGACTGAGTCAAGCTCCAGGTCATCATGGAGATCGACGTTCCTTAAGAACCATACAAGGTACTTACGTTACATAATTTAAGTAGATACGATACCGTACGAGTAGGTACTTAGGTATGTAGGTAGGTACACTTGCTTAAAATTCTTCTTCATCTTTATTTTTTGGCTCCGGCACAGTTTGCACATTAGCCAGCGTTGAGTAATAAGATTTTTATAATTACCCATTTTATTTTATTTTATAATCCTTAGATGGGTGGACGAGCTCACAGCCCACCTGGTGTTAAGTGGTTACTAGAGCCCATAGACATCTACAACGTAAATGTGGCACCAACCTTGAGATATAAGTTTTAAGGTTTTAGTTACAACGGGTACCCCCCCTTCAAACCGAAACACATTACTGCTTCACGGCAGAAATAGGCAGGGTGGTGGTACCTACCCGTGCGGACTCGCAAAACGTCGTCCTACCACTAGTAGGTGTCATGTCAAGTTATTCAGTATTATTTCACGTTTTAAACAGTAGACATGATTTTGGTGTGTGGTTTTGGCTTTTGTTACCAAATGGCTGTATGGATGCGATTTCTTAGCCTATCCAATGGACTAATCAAATGTATGTAATACACCAATAGCGTTTGATGTTAAAATGAAACAAATTCGAATTTCGAATCGCAACGGCGAGGACTGCCTCCTAATAATAAAACGACAGTTTAAAAACTGTTTGTATTTGTAAAGTACCTACCTGCTTATGTGTTTATCTGTTTTATATCAATTAACATAATAAGAGTCTTAATTTCAGTTTAAAGTTAAATAAAACTATGATACCGAAGTGGAAATCTATTCTTATTCATTGGGTGAGCAGCAGATGTGCAAAACGACAGATGTTCGACAAAAAAAGTCTGTGATAGTTACTGTGTGTTCGGTTTTCATCCCATTGATCAAAGCTCTATTATCTTATTACAGATAAACTGTTATTTCAACAACGCCAATAAAGACGAAACCTCTATTAATTTAGAGTCTCTTATCAATATAATCGCTCATCTGCGTGAAAATTTTAGCTTGGACGAATCTAAATCTTCTCTACTAGAAGCGCACACCGTTGAGCAGTTTATTCTTGAAAAATATCCACATTTCAAATTTGAAAATGGAACTGTTGAGCCGGCTAGCGAGAGCGATTTTTACTTAGCCGCGTCATTGTTATTGTTCTTTGTTTGTGTGAATTCAAAACAAATTGATATAAAAAATGTTATGTGTAATAAATTGAGTGCTGACGACCAAGAGGTGATACTGAAATTTAGTAAAAACCTAATGGAGTCTTCTCCTGTTTTGTACCAGGACTTACAGGCAGCAATTACAGGTAAGAAAGGAATGAGAAAAAAAGCAAAGAAATGCATTCTAGGAACAAATGCTAATTTCGAATGGTAAATTTGGGAGTAACTTTAGAAGTGAAATAGTTGTGAAACAAAATTATAGGAACTTGAATTGACCTGAAAAAATTGAATGGAAAAAAGTTTGTTTTTTCAAGATATTCAAGCTTGTAATCCTAATACATCCTTCTTTTGGTGAACGTCCCTTACACTGAATGCACAATTAAAATGACAGTACTACCTCACTGCTTGATTGTACTGTGACAGTAAATATTAATCTATTTTACAGATGCATGTGGTCAACAAATAATACCATCCACTGGTGTACCTCATTCCATTATGACTGAGACTCCTCCAGCTCTGAGGTCGTTGCACAGTGAAGTACGCCGTCTGCAGGTAGCACTTGATGCTGAGAGGTTCGACCGTAATTACTTGCAAGATGAATTGGCCAGGACTAATTCTAAATTAGAAAAGTTGGGTAGGTGATTTAAAAAGAATTGTTACAAGTGCTAAGAAATAATTTTACTAAGATTGAAGAAATTCTATGTAATACATTATTTGTCACCTTCTCTTTTTCAAAAACATTTTTATGATGAATCTGAATATATTTTATAAACAATCATTTAAAAAAAAAAAATGTATATAGAGCAAAATTATTTCTTTAAATCATAAAAATTAAAATCTTACCCTTATCCCTTTTCAAAATAATGGACTTAATTGACGTCTACTACTTACCTCCTTGTTTACTTTTTACATGTTAGCTAAAGACAAGGAACAATATAAACTTGAAGTCATGGATTTGAAAGCTCAGATATCACTGTGTTGTGGACAAGAGGAAAATGCTAAAAGCTCAGAAACTAAAGCTGATCTTTCCACTAAACTTGCTAAAGACCTACAGGTGATGGAAGAGAGACTAGTCCAGATCAAAGGAGAGTTAGATGATGTTGTCTATGAAAGAGATTCATTTAGAGCTAAGGTATTTGTTGTTTGTGAAATAGTATTGAAACTTGAGTACAGATATTATGACTGTCAGTCTGAATATAAAATGCACTTACTTATTAACGATTGTGCTTTTTGGTGTTGAATGTTAACCAATAGGCTTCTCAGTGAAATTTGGCTGTGTAGTGTCACCCTAGAATAGCACGACCTGTTATTGTAAAAGGGACTAAATAATTTACTGAAGATTGGGCTGCTGTATGCTGAGGCATGCTGCTATTCTTTGACTATTACACCAGCATATCACTTGTGGTAATGCTTATTTATAAATTCACATTGGTTTGAAGGTAAAAAACAAAGTGATGGTCTTCTGACTAGGCAGGTGAAGTTGCTCAGTAGATCAACGGTCCAAATTTTCAGAACTTGTATATATGCAAGCTTATTTTGAAAATGTTATTAGTGAGATTCAGATATCTGTCAAATAAATGTCTTGGGGTTCTATGATGCTACCGGTACAATACCTTTGTCAGAGACAGCTGTAATTTAATGTATTTGAAACTGACTATATGTCTCAACTTGTTGGTGACATTCATATTGTGATGTCTACGCGCTCTATTAGGTATTAAGCTTGTTCACTCATAAATGTACTATATACAAAAAAAGTTTCTAACAGAGAATGAAATGGTTGAATACAATTTACAAAAAAAATAGCTATTCATCTGTAGAAGTAAAGTACTAATTTCAGGATGTTTCAATTAATGTACAGCAACATAATTGTAGATTGAAGAACTCAAAAAGGATCGTGATAAATGGTTTGGTCTCAGTCAACAAGAGTCTACTCGAGTGAGCCAGTTATCTGAACAACTTGAAATTGAGAAACAGCATGTAGCTACATTAAAAGAACTGGTTACTGAATTCCGTCAACATAATAGATTGAATCATTTTGACTCAAGTTTATTGGAATGTGATGACCCTGATGCTAGTATGCAGATTTTACAACATAATTCTTGTAAGTTTTTAAGCACTACTTAGTTTTTTTCCAATCAGTAAAAATAATCACAAATTCATTGTAGCTATATCCAGTGAAGTATGCGCGAATGTAGTTGAAGTCCAGTTAGGAGAAGAAAGAGCAAAGATTGTCGAATTAAAACAACAGATACAGGATTTACAGGTGAGACTATAAATATAATTGAAATTATAAATTAATGTTGAACATATAAATTGCTAGTAAACAGCTCATAAGAAGCAGATAGTATTAATATTATTCAACTATGCAGGACCAACTAAATGACATCAATAAAAAATCTCAACAAGACAAATATTCTTATGGATTAGAATTGTCTGAGAAAGAATCCGAAATATTTAATCTAAAACATCGTATCAATGAGGAAATTGAGCAGAAAGACCATCTCAAAATNGCTGAACATAAAATTGCTAGTAAACAGCTCATAAGAAGCAGATAGTATTAATATTATTCAACTATGCAGGACCAACTAAATGACATCAATAAAAAATCTCAACAAGACAAATATTCTTATGGATTAGAATTGTCTGAGAAAGAATCCGAAATATTTAATCTAAAACATCGTATCAATGAGGAAATTGAGCAGAAAGACCATCTCAAAATGTACTATGACAATGAAATTACTAAATTAAACAATGAGATCAATGAATTGGAACAGCGTCTCAAAGATAATGGTGAGAATTCCAGGAATATTATTGAAAGGAAAATGCTTGA